CTGCCCGTGTGTTTTTAAACTAAACCGGATGTGCGTTTCCGGCATTTAGGATCCGTTGTGCGCTTCCTTTTCAGCTGAAGGCCTTGGCGCGCAAAAACCAGTACCCCGGACACGCCTAGTCCGAAAATAAGTCGCCCGGTTTCCGTTTTCACTACTGCTGGGAAAAACATACGACCTATTTTAAAAACACACGACTCTGGTGCAGATTTCTCGCATTCGACGTTGTGTGAAGGATATCCGGTGGCACGTCTATAAACACCCATTTTATATTTAGACACGGAATTATTTCCTATTTGCAGTGTAAAAATATAAAACGTGTCTTTTTTTCTTTTAATTTGTATTGCTGTCAACTGATTGTTACGTAGTGGAGACGTTTATGTAGTATGAAAATAACGAATTTTGTTGTTATAAACTTATCATAGCTACATTTTACTTATTTATCAAAACTGATATCATAAATTGATAAATTAATAAGTGGTCTAATATATAATAGTAATCATAAACTATGAATGAAATAGATAACATCTACGAGTTTGTATTGAACAATTATTTTAATGTATTAGAATTATTTTTAATTAGTCGATTTAATTAATCATAATTTATTTTAATTAGGAAAAAAATCTTTGATATTTTTAACAATAACTCCGTTTTTAAATTAAAATATTCATTTTGATGGAATTAAAACTTAAAATATAACCTCTCGCTGGGCTGTCCTCTAGGGGAGTGAACAGAACCATTTTTCCCTAGGCCTCGGTCTAAGAAAATTTAAAAGGAACCCCTTTAAGTCCAGATTTATTACAAATATTCGGCATTACCTATTAGAGATTATTGATTTACAGTAGTCTCACTGATCCGGACTAGATGGGACTGGACTCCAACCAGATTAAACAGAATTATTTTTTTTTCAACTTATTATAATAAGCAGAGGATAAAATAAATATTTATTTTAAACGGTTTACACGTATACACAATATCCACTAAATGAAACAACGAATTAACTGATTAATTTAAATGAGTAACGATAAAATCTCAATCAACTACATATTTCCCGAATAATTCCAATTTCGTAGAAGTACCTACATTTATGCTATAAATACATATGAACCTAAGAATATATAAATATCAATTATGTATCAATAATTGATGTCTTATAGTATAAATATGTATAGTATATAATAGATTTTTATAGATATAAATTAACATTGACATAAATTATTTTTACAGATTATTTTTGTTTATGTGTATTCACATAAGTACTAAAGCACGAAGTATAAATTGTCCTCCGGATCAGCGAGATTACTGTAAATGTATTATTTCTAGACTATTTTTCTTTATGAACTATTAAAAATTTAATTAAATAAAATTATCTTAAATATTTATTTAAGTGCTATTATATAGGCAACATATTCAGTTATTCTAATTTCTAAATAATTATAACTGTAATTTATTATGGTTACTGTCGGAGTGTGAAGAATGACATAATTTTATCCGATTGTATGTAGAAATTCGCTATCACAAGTTTCGACACGACAACATCCAAGTTCTTATTTTCTATGGCTGTTTATAAATTATCTAGGAATACATTTAATTTATATTAAATACGGTAACTGGTAATTAACTTAACTTCGGTAAGAAGTTATTAAAAGTATAATTCATTGTAGCGATGCATCAAATAACCTTGATTGGTTGACGTTTGAAAAACTATTATTAATAACATTTTGCAAACTTGGTGTTTATTTTTATAATACTGATACATTATTGTGATGATTGAGGGGCCCTTAAATTAATTTTCCCTTGGCCCTAAAAATTCTTAGGATAACTCTGACCACTTGGATAAATGAAAAATACTTAAATAATAACTTAATAGATCCGATTAGCTATATTTAATTTTTTAATAACATAATATAATATATTATATAAAAATGTACATATTATAATATGTATACCATAAAAATTTTAATAATATATTTATTATTACTTAAAAAAAGTGTACAGAATGACGTTTTCGTAGGTTGTTACTTCTGATATTATCTATTCCTCAAACGTATAATGTTATAAGTATAACCAAAAATATTAGATTCGTCAATAATTTTGATTATGAATTTTTTTTTGTCGCTGACGGATATTTAAATAATAATAATCAATTAATAAATAATTTTAACCGTCTGGTGGCTGGTGTGTCATTTAAATAAGAGTTTTTACACTAAGTACAATATGCCCGCAATGTACTAACTGGAGACAACTCGATATTTAGCCTCCGAGCGCGCGTCGACTTGACCCATATATTATTTCTATAGGCTTCGGTCGGACGATCGATATTTCGGGCCTCTAAAAGCGCATAGGTCGTCCCTGGAGCGACGGTGGCTGCGGCAACGTTCACCGAACGCGCACGGTCTTAGAACGATCCCGCGCCGCTGCCGTCCGTTTTTGTATTCATTGAAATGCGCCTCGTGTTTTAAACGGTCGTTCGCATATCATAACCATGGTAACCTGATGGTCGAACACCACGTGTTGTGGCCGCCACTGGCATCGTCCTCGAGAGTGTGTTCCAATTATTACATTATTATTGCCGTTTTTCTTTCTCTTTAGGATTTTGTTTAGCATGTAACTTTTAGGTGGGCGACTGTGAGTTTTCGAAACGACATAACCGGTTAATAATATTGTTTGGTGAAAAGTTTTATTATACTCGTATATTCGAGTAGGCGTTCCCGGGGGTAGGTTAGCTCATGTAGGTGGCTTAGTCTGTTTATTATGTTTCGGTTTGACCTATATTTTCGGTGTTCGTGCCACCGCTACAGCGGATGCGTTTGTTTATTTTTCGTATTATTAATATTATTATTTATTATTATTGTAACTGCGGAATGAGGTTTTTTCTGGAGAGTTGTTCAAATTTTTCAAAAGGCGGCACGGTGATAATTGGATCGATATGTGTTATTATTCTCCCTGCTTTGTACCAGGATTAACTCGTACGCACTGGCCTGGAGCTAGTACTGTTTGGTACATGTCCCGTCTTAAGAGGGTATTAGGGGACGTTGTTTTCCTCTCCCGTGGTCGTTAATAAATCATCCGGTTTTATTGGCAGCCAGTTTCCGGCGGGTCAATTTTGATTTCCGGTCGAGATCTGCCGTGGCTACTACTAAAGCCGTCTGGTTGTGGTCGATCGATGTGCTGTCGTCATCGTCATCGTCGCCACCTGGTCCAGATGATAACGACGACTGGGTTCTTTGTGAGAATTGCCAACGTTATATCAAGAGGTGGCAGGAGCGCGTATGGTCTGTGATTAAAGTGTGGGGTAAGGGACGTTGGAATGGTGAAGCTGTGACGGTGGCGACGCCCACTCATTGCGAACCCACACATACAACGTTACACGGAATGTTTTCTTTGCTGACTAAATAAAAAAAAGCCAATGTCTGCGAGTGGGTGGTGGGAAATCTGATTTGAAGTTTACATGTCAAAAATACTTATATTAAACCTTGATTGAAAACCAACTATTTTTTTTTTTTTATGTAGGAATATTAGCTGTGTCTACCTACATTATTAATGTATTATTTGTCTATGTTTGATCAATTTGTGTTTGGAATTAATCCATTTTTTTAATTAGAATACATATTTTTTATGAGTCAACTGTTGTGTTAGTATACAATTATACATTCATAATGTAGATTTGTTCAATTTTATATTTTACTTCAACTAACTTATCATCTGTCTAATAATTTGATACACAACAAAATAATATCTATTCTCATATAAAGCAATAAATTACTTGTCATTTACTTTTTTCTCGACTTAAGCAGTCTCGGTAATAATTCGAACAATTTAGAAGCGTATTTTAATAAATAATGTCTTATAATGTACTTCATTTGAAATGTTAGGGTATATTTTTGGACTGTATATTATATTCTATGAATAGGCCTGAAGCGTGTAAGGATGTTGTTACCATATGTTTTTATGTGTTGAAAGACACACCTTGGGAGTAGGCAATGTTATAAATTGCCACTTACATACTTATTAACAATGAACTAAACATCTAAATAAATATCATCCATATGTTACTTTTTGTAATGTGAGCAAATTGGTGAAGACGTTAAGCTGTTAAAAATCAACTATTGTATTACAGTGCTGAAGTAAATAATAGTGAATTCATATTGGACTCGAGTGTTGGGTACGTTTTGTTACGAGGAGTTATGAAGTCATAAATTAATGCATTAAAGCCTAACTATATAAATAATGCAATGTGGTGTTCGGTTGAAGAAACAAGACTAAATAATAAAATAGTTTTTCTATGAATACCATCCCTTTAGTTAAGGTCATAGGTCTTTCTCTCCCATTCAATATGGCCTTTTTGATAAGTATCAAGTCAAGAAAAACTCAGTTTGCTTACTGTTAATGTTTACCAAAATTATTTTGCCAATACAAATATGTCGTTTTAAAATAAAAATTTTACATTCTTCTACGTGTTAAAAATAACGAAAATAACTTACTACTTTATTGATTATTGATGTATATACATCATATTATACAACATTTTAATTTCTTAATATTTTACCCAACCATTATAAAAATAAATTTCACAGTAATATATCTTCTTTTATAAATTATATAAATGGTAATATCTTATAAAAATTCTACTTTGTAAATTTGTACTGCAATTAAAAATATTTTGATCTTTTAACCCCGAAAGATCTTGAAAAATACTTCATAATTAAATATTGTGAATCGTTATGGTATTTTACGTTTGGTACGAGTACTTGGACTTGGTCAGATACTTATAAAAGTATCTATAGTATAACCAATATATATTAGAAAACTCGTTAGGTAGCTTAGGAATTAAATTGTTATAACATCAAAATCTTAACATATTCATGGGAGTTTAATTTCTTGTTCAATTAATATGTATTTTATATTATGCTTGACCCGACTTTAGATATCAGAAATTATTCTGTATAAAAAGCATGATTTTTTTTTTTAACATTAGTAATGAATATTATATTTTTTTTCAGAAAGTTTCGATACCTTCCAACAGTCATATCCGGAATGGTGCGAGTCGTTCTTAGAACGTTGCGCCCGAGCCAATGATGATATGACTGGTTTTATCGGTGACACTGACACTTTGATGGGCTTGCGATCGTTGCACATCACTCCGTCACTTGTGCCGCACACTCGAAACGCGCGACGCCAACATCAATTGATGTCCGTGCTTAGTACATCCCCTGAAAGTTCCGGAGGTTCGGATATCGACAGTCTTTCAGATGTGGACAGTTCCAGTTCAATATTAGGGTTCGACGATGATCGTGACTTCCCTGTTGAGATATTGCCAGATCTCTTTCTTGGTAATGCGGCCAATTCGGAAGATTTGGAATGGCTTAAAAAACACCGGATAGAGGTAATCAGTCACGTTTCATCGTACACCGGAAATTATGCTCATTAAATACATATACACGTGTTCTAGGTTTAATCAGCTCTTTAATGTTTTTCAGTACATTTTAAACGTTACGTCGGACTTGCCGAACACTTTCGAAGAACAAGGTTGTATCAAGTATATGCAAATACCCATTTCCGATCATATCGGACAAAATCTTGCTAGTTTTTTCCCTCAAGCAATTGAATTCATCGGTGAGTTGTACTTAACGTATATTTTATTATTTCCCCGGTTGATTTACGATCAGAGCTCGTTTTGGGATTTTTTTTTATAATCCGTCCCTGTGCGTGTTATCCAAGATGAGGGACGAGCTATACATGTTATATTGCGTATTGTGCTGCAGATGTTTGTCACGGTTTCTTGCAAATAAACGCAATAAACGTTGCTGTAGTGGACGGGCTAGTGGGTTTTCGCACGTGCACGATATCCCGCTGCATCGTTCAGCCGGTCAGTTCGAAATTTAATTTTTAAGAATAAACGTGTTGATGGTGCACAAGAATCTCGACGAGTCTTGCTCGTGGAGTGTTAAAACTATACTGTAATAAAAATAATTTATACCATTTAACTAACTAGTTCGGTTAACTTTGGTTAACCGAACTGTATACGTTACCGAAAATATTTCGCCATTTACATGCCGAATAAATTGTTCAATGGTGATATGGTATTCTTATGGGTTAGTAGTGTGCGAATAGAATCCAAAACCAATGATTTATAAATTTTCTTATCCTTATGTATACAGTACTGGATAAATAACGGACATAATGTTAGCTGTTAATGTTTAATATTTCCCAACACATTTCCATTAAGTATAACATTAAATAACGATATCAGACCTATTATCAAAAAAAAAAACTATAAATTGTATTTTTTTTTGTTTTTATGTATACAGTTCTAATGAAATACATTAAATCATTATTTTTGTCGTAGATAAAAACTATTGATATGTAATATCGAATTATAATTCTTAATAGAGCGTTAATGAGAATAATGGTTATCGATAAAATATTATATCGTAACGCGTTCTACATATCTGCGTCCATCGATCAGTGGAGAAATACATCAGTCATATATATATATATATTATTATATTTTGGTGCGTTCATAGAGAGTTAACAAAAATCGATATTTGTGTGATTTGGTGGGGGGGGCTGAAGCTGGACGAAAGAGAAACTAACACGTGTTCCGGAAATCTTGGCGACTATATTTTTATTTTTTTTTTATTTTTTTTTTTTACTTTTCACTCGTGGTGTTCCTTCTTTACCAAGCGCCTCAAATATAGCCCTGGAAAGAATTTTAATTAAATGTCTGCACGTTAAAATGACGTTTAAACTTCGTTGCTCACGCACACTCGAACACGTATGAATTCGTACGTATGAACTCGTGTGTATAATTAAACGCGTATTCCGAGTATATTTTAAAAGAAAGAAAAAAAAAGTCCAGCGCGTGTGATTTCTTGGCAGAGCGATATTATTTTTCGTGAACTTTTCAACTCGGGACACGTATTTAGCGCGGTGGCGCAGGGTTTTGGTGTGTGCGGCGGCAGGCGATGCCGTCGCAGCGGCGCGGGTATGTTTGTTCGTATGTGTGTACGCGCCGGCAGATTCGGTGAATGAAGATGCCCACGCACAGTCTGTGCTCGTGTACACGACGACCGAATGGAAGCGCCCACGCGCGTCCGGATTATTATACCGACCAACACCCCCGCCGCATGTACCACGACGGTATGTACGCGTGACACAACACTGTGGGGACTTACTGGTACGGGGATGATGGGGGTGGGGTGGGTGTTGGCGTCGTCCCCCATCAACAAGTTACAAAATACTCTCGTTGGTGGGCGGTTGAGGGCTGTGTGTGCCGAGTCGATCGCGCGCGTAGGGACGACGGCGTGCGTACGCGGGTCGGTAAGAGAACGATTTTATCAATGAACTCCCAGAACGTTTGAATGAGAGGAGGAACCGCCGCCGTCGTTGGTCGTTGCGCGTGCGCCCCGGCACCCCGTGACCGATCAATATCCGGGTCAAAGCCGTTGTAGCACACAAGAGCAGTAGACGTAGCGTATGTGTGGTTCGGTCGTGGGGGTTGTACCACCAACACTCATGTGTATGTGTGTGTGTGTGTGTGTGCGAGCGTGTGACAGTATTTGCAAATAAACACACCCTCCCCATCCCAAGCGCCCACGCGACCATTGCGTCGGCGTTAGCGATTAAAACAACACTCGCGCTCCCTCTTCAATCCCCGCCACAGTCACCCTCGCTTTCACGAGGCACCCAAACATTATCAGAAATGTTAACTGACGATGGTGACGGCTGTCCCGTGTGATAACACTGCATATTTTTATTCATTTTAGCGTTCTTTAGATTATTTTTCTCATGTACGGTGCCACGGACTTTTGTTTAGTCTGTCATTGTTGTACATTAGTCATTATAAGATTCATTAAATGTTATCATGATTAAAAAATACCGATTCGGCGCAGGAACTTGGCTCTTATGACAACGTACAGCACGGTCGGTGTCTTTCATATACTGTACAGCGTCTTTTTCTCAATTCTATTGTTTTTGGACAGTTCAGTCGATTGACTATAACATAAAGAAGACTGAAACCTATTTTTGTTAAATCCAGAAATTGATTTTGACTCCTAACGATTTGAATTTAAAATAATTATTTTTTACTATGTATGTACTTGTTAAAGAGAACTTAATGAAATATTATGTACGATAATTTTGTCCTCGTAATACATCTATCTGTGTCGCGCAATGTTCGTTTTGGAGTTGTTCAATGTTACATTAACGATTCAAAACTTGTATTTGTTGAAAAGTAAATTAGTGTTAGTTAAAAACATTCTGTGAATGTCATGTTTGATTGTTCAAAATTGATAAAAGTGTTTATATTTTGTTTATTTATCTATTTTGTTGTATCATATTATTAAATATGTATAGCACAATAATAATACGTTCATTAACTATAATATAATACTTCTATTCATTTCGAGTACATTTAAAACGTGTGTGTAATTTCTGATGAATGAAATTATGCTGCTGGGACAAAATTATAAAAAAAAAATAACCTAGGTTTGCATTTTAAGCGGTCGAGATTGTTCATTTAAAACTACTGACGACGATTTTAAGCTGCACGTGTTTTCCGAAACATTGTGTTATCAGTTTAGGCGCAGGATTATTTATCATTTGCGACATGAACGAAACGTATTTGATTTCCAAAACTTTTCTATATAAAATATTCATTAACAGATGATACTTGAATATTATATCCAACAATAATGATACGTAATCAGTTATTAAGTTAACGTTTTTTTTGATGTTACTAAAAAAAAAACACGAAATTACATTATGTTATTTGTTAAATTACTTAGGTGTGTATGTATTTAGAGTTTTGTAGGTATAATGAATATATATTATAATAATCGGTCATGAGCGATTATTGTTGTTGGTAAATCGGTGGTGTGAGTGAGCCAAAATTGAATGTATTTTCGAACACAATGATGGTGAAGTCATATATCATAATAGCAGTTTGGTGAACATCGTTTTATATACGTAAAAAGATAATTTATGATGATAAGCAGCGGGTTGTGTCGTCAGAAGTGCGTAAAAATAGATTTTCCTGCTACTTTTCAGTAGTAGTTGCACTTTTATCGAGTTAATCTTCTACCGTCTCGTTGAATAAAACATTTCAAAGAACGAAAAAACAAACACGGCTCCTGTCGCTGGTGCGCACAGAATTTTGAACGTTTTCCCGGATCTTAGAATGTTTCGTATTATTAAACATCAACAATTCGAGTGGGTACATGTTAGATGAATTATTATTACGTGTGTGTTTAGTCGCTGAGCCTCGCGACCTTTTATATAAATGTTTTGCCCGTTGCGCATTGTTGTTCACGGATTATTTTTAAAGAACGTTACTCAGGAGAGATTTTTGTGTAAAAAAAAAAAATGTCGTACATCTTGTCCATATTTATACGATATTAACGCATACGAGTTTAATATTATTATTGTTATTTTTTTTCCTTATATATTATTACTAAAGTGTGACGGAAATGAAAATAAAACAATAGCTCAGTCCGTCGTCACACAATGGCGCAACGTATTCCGAGCGGATTCCGCCTTCCTGTGTATAACGTCTTGTTGATGTTTCCGTTTTTTGTTTTCCTGTAAGCTGAATGTACACATGCGCTTGTGCCGGCTTTCACGTACGCTTGAAGATGCCGCCGCCCGGACCCAAACGCTCACTGCTCAACGACATGTTTTGTTTTCTGTAAAAAGTCTTGTAAATGTGCACGATACATCGTGTCGTGGAACGATTTCGATTTTCGCGTCTGTTTTACGTAATTGCATCGTCGTCGTTTTGTTCCTTTCATATATTTCGAAGGAAATCCAAGGCGGATGGTCTTTGGAATTATTGTAGTTTGACGATGGGTAAAAAAAAAAGGGAAAAATCATTTATCGTCTTGTACTGGCCTTTTTTTTTTTTTACTTCTATGTCTATTTGTGCGTACAGATACGCATTGTGTGCAATTCTTTGAACAGATAACGAAAATTACGCAACGTATTCCGGGATTTTTGATTCGACTATTGTGTACGCGAGTATGTTGATTTTCTCACGATGTTCTTATATGACGTTTAAGCGTTTCTTTTAGTGCACACACAAGTACTCGTGGTGAATCGAGCCTTATAATAATTATAATAAGGACAATAAGGCATGGTACTGTAGTCTATAAGTTCTCAAAACCCTGATGAGTAAACATTTAGAGTATATATTTGTTTACTAATATTATTTCAAATCCGTTTAATTATAAAAATTGTTTTCCGTTATAAAAAAAAAAAACACTCTGGGAATAATAGTAGAAGAAATGTAATTGAAATTTTAATGTTATAGATTCTACCATTGCACGTCTAAGTGCTTACAAACAAAATTTTAATCTTACATTTCGAATCGTAAGTTTAAAGTGCGATATTCTTTTTCGAGTACACTTGTAATTTTGTGTAAAAATTCGCATTGAAAAATGTATAGTATATTTGTTTTTATTACGATTTATTATCATATGATACGGTTTTCTAAATATGTAAAACACAAAAAGAAATTCATTAGTTTATACATTTATTTGAGTCTTAAGGTTTACATCGTCAAAAACGGTTTTATCATGACTCGAACAATGCACACGGGGCACTAGTCTGTCGAATAATTGAATTTCAATTAATTTTCGTTTGAAAGTCGAATATTTTATTTTCGGTGAAATTCGTGGTATGCTGGAAAAGCATACATTCACAAATATCGTACTTTGAATACAATATTAATGAATGTAATGTATGTGTATATTTTCCAATAATAATGGACGGAAATAATTAATTATAAAACGACGATATCATCATCCTGGTTGCTGCGTGGGCGTTTTTGATGAATGCAACAATACTACGAATTTGTGTAATTTTAAATTTCGAATCCGTCGAATATAATAATAAAATAGTATACGTTTATTAATTAATATTAGTTAAAACTAAAAATTAACATGGTTTCCACGGCGTACGTGTTGAAGGCCGATCCTAGAATAAATTACGTATGCTGTGCATAAAATCAAACACTCTTTTTTTATGTATTTCTAAAGCTCCTGGTACTATATCAATTAATAATAATAGTAATTACCCTTGCTAATGAATCTAGGTTTAATGAAAATAATCGCGCAACCATTCTGTCATCATAGCGGACTAACCGCATTTAAAATAAATTCGTTACTAGAAGGGATCCATCCAGGTATAATCGTCCCTAGATTTAGGCCCTAAAAAATATTAATTAAATCCCCTTAATGTTTCATTGTTATGCAGGAACGATGTTTTTAAAAATATTTTCAAATTGAAAAAAAAAGCCACTGATTTTTAAACTTTTTTTAAAGGAGTTAAAATTATATCGCAATTCCCACAAGGTTGACGTCAACAGATATTCAGCGCGATGTGTTTAGATATTTCTTTGTATACATAATTTTTTTTATTTACACTACGTATGGCCGTATTCAGAATAGTTTTTAATGGAAGGTTTATGGATAGGCCGCTGCTGAAAGGGTGTGTGATTGCTCCAGGTCACATGCAATTGGATTCATTCTTATTTGCTGTTATAATGATTTGTAATTATAAAAATTGTAAAAGCAAATAAATATAAAATTTACACCACACACTATACTATTATAAATAAAATAATACATAATACTTTTGAAAAGTTAGTAACAACATTTTATGAAATTATTCATAACATATTTTGTTTATTTGTCCCTAAAACCACTTTTCAGTTTGGGCTAATACAAAATTTAGGAATCTTATTATCAAAAAAAAAAAAATAAATAAAATAATATTAAATAAATAAATAAAAAATAGTCCATATAAAATTTAAGTTATATATTCCTTCGTATGATATATATTTAGAATTTTTTCGCCTTCGTTAAGAATGTAAAATTTAAATTCCCAGCATCTTATTTCAATTATAATATTCAACTAAATAAGAACAATTTTTCGATTTCTGTAAAATTTTAAAAAAAATAATGTGCCCAATATTTTAAAATATATTATAACATCAACTAACATTTAAGAAAAATCTGAGTTGTTTGGGAATTTTTTTCATGTGTTTTTAAATCTGATTTGATTAATTCGACTAATTCATTGGAGCCCAACCAAATTTCTACATTACTTTTTAATTATAATCTAAATTTAAGTAATTGGTACATTGATAAAAGTTAAATTTATGAACATTTATACTCTTTTGATATCTGCTCTGCCACAGTTCAGATGGTTTTTTTTATTTTTAATTATTATTGATTTATTTTTTATACAATGTATGCTATTTGTTATGTATGTCATTACCGTTCGTTACTGCCGTAACTATTAACTGTCATGTAATTGTTGTCGCCTTCATTTTGTTTTAGAGGGTTCCTACTCATTTATTAATAATAATAAAATAAAATTATAATGGACACGTACCGAGGGGAAGGCTTCGAGTCTAAAACGTGTACACGACCACGTGTTAATTATATTATTCGTGTGCTCTCCCCCCTTACCGGTTTGGTCAGCGTCAACAGGGGATGGTTGTATTTTTACGAGGTCTTGATGATCGAACAATTGTTGTGTTTGCCACGACCGCGGTCTAAACCATACTTTCTTGTTGTTGCAGACAAAGGTCGGACGCAGAAAAAAGGCGTCTTGGTGCACTGCTTGGCCGGCATATCTCGCTCGGTAACCGTTATGCTGGCGTATCTGATGGCGCACCGGCAGCTGACGCTCAACGAGGCGTACAACATGGTGCTGAAGCGCAAGGCCAACATCGATCCCAACTTCCATTTCATGCAGCAACTGCATTCGTTCGAGAAACAGCTGCTGGACGCCAGGATGCAGCCCAAGCAGTTGGCCAACTCGGCGTCGTCCGCTTCCAGCTACCTGAGCCCGCTCTCCACGGCCGTCCAAAGCCCGGACAGCGGCATCGAGTTCGACCGGTGGACGCCGAGCACGGGCGGATGAGAAACGCTTGAGGGCGACCATCAACGATCGCCCCAGTCCAAATACCGATTCTGACCGAATGCCTTTTCATGTATTATCACTATGTTTTCTCCAGTATACTGTGCTTGTCGTTGTTGTCGCTTCATTTCCTAACCTCTCCTCCACTTCACTTATTATTATATTATGTTATGTTATTGTAGACGCCTACTACTTTAAAAAAAAAAAAATAATAATAATAATAATAATAATAATAATAAAATAGAATTACTCGAAAATAAAAATAAAACCAAGTACCGTACTCAGCTGCTACATCATGCGTAGTACTGTATTTTGTTTTAATGCGATTAATATTGAATACGACTGCCCATTTTTATTTTGTAGTGCTCATATACTTTTATTATTATTTTTATATTCGCACAATCTTTATTATATTGTTTACTGTTAAGGACTAATATAATTTATTAAGTTATACCATCGGGGGATTTTATTTTTATTTTTATTTTATTTTATTTTGCTCTGAGATTTATACAGAAAGTTCTAAGCCACTGTGTCTATTTCTGAATATGGATTTATTACTGTTTTACGAGGTGCTTAAACATTACTTTGTATACTATTCATTCAAGTATTACATTTACCATCAATTTTGTCTATTTAAATGATTTTCATTGTTATATATTTTATACTTAATTTATTCGTGTTGTACTATAAATGTTTATTTTTAGACTGATTTATGGTCCGATACCATTGAACTTATTTGTTCGGCCAAATTTAAATTAGGGGTATTATTGATGACCACAGTGATATTATATATAATATGATATTGTGTCAATCAATTTTTTTTCTCATTCTCTATAGGTTTAGGATCTTAAACATTTAAACATATTATGTCTGTATGTCATTTAAGTATTGTGTTAATTTATTTTCAAAATTAAATTTTCAGTGTTTTTACATTATCTTATACATTATTATAATATTACTATAAATGTATTTTTTTTCTCTGAACCAATTCCATAATATTTAATATTAATATTAACATGGGTTACCACTTAATGAAAACAATTAAAATAATGGCCAATTGTATAAAACTTAAGATTTAAAAACAAATTATTGTATTTTGTAATAGGCCCTATATTTTGTAATTTATAGTGCCATAACCAACCTCAGATGACTGAGATAAACAATTAAACTTGTGTAAATTATTAAGATATAATAAATATATTTAAAAGTATTTATACACAAAAAAAAAACATGTGTTCACAGTTTATTGTAATGCAGGTATTATTTACAGCATAAGGTTAGACAAACGAATACAATATTCTTAATCTTATAATAATATATACAAAGTCAATACAGACAAATATATACAATTTATACATCTATATATATATATATATATATATACACAACTAATATGGATTAATAGCATACAACTATTTACACTTATGTACAAGTGATTTGACAGAATAATTGGTAGGATTATTTGTAGCAATTCGTTGGCTTAAAAGCATCAATATTGTGCCTTTGCCTGTGGTCAAGGGGGACTAAGATGGGCCCTACCGCGTCCTCTTCCTCGTCCCCGACCTCGTCACCTCCTCCCATCACCCATTCCTATATTGCTGGTGGTCTTTTCCAAATAAGCCAAAGGTCCTTGCAACAATGCTCCGGGCATCGGCCCTCCGGCCACTGGACCAGGCCTCTGCTGCTGCTGCTGTTGTTGTTGCTGTTGTTGCTGTTGTATGAACATAGCCTGTTGTGGCGAGACCATACCACCAGGCACTTGAGGCGATGGTTGTTGCTGAGGCGGTCCTATGGGCCCGGGCAAAGGAGACGGCATAGGTGCTGGCATAGGACTCTGGCCCATCGTACTCTGAGCCGGCGACTTAGCCACTTGTTGCACATCTGTCAGTACGTTTTGCCACACGGCAATCTTGTCATAGTGCCGGCGTATGAGATCGTCTTTGCGCGCCAGTTCCAGTCGCAGCTCGCTTATATCTTCTTTGACGATCAGCTCGGGTTTGAGCGCAGACAGCAGAAACCGCTTCTGTAGGAAAAACGCCTCCAATTGTCGGGCGATGTCGATGAACCGCATCGTGCACTGATCAATGTCCACGCGCACCTCTTCCCTGTCGACTGGCGAGAATGTCTCGTCCTCCTTGGACATAATCTCGACCAGCGACATGAACGCCTCGTCGAACTCGTCCACTAGATTGCCGTTGCCGCTGGTCGGAGTGGCCATGGCGGTGAGGTGAGGACCGGACTCGGATTCGGTTATCGTACGGAAGTAAACGCGAAACGGAGATTGCTTAACGAGAACACGAACGAGACCGGTGACACAAGACGGACGACGGGAATCACGAATCGTTTTCGCACATCATACGGTTATCATAGTTCGAGATCGACATCATGATTTACGGTGGTTTTGATAATGGTATTTACTATAATGTTATTAATATTACTAATATTACGGATGGGATAGACGTGTGCGCCAGACAGGAGATAAACGTCGTTTTTCCTTTATCTCGGCAGCGCGGCCATCAACAATTTTCATTTCGTCGTGTACGAACATTTGCAGGTTAAGCCCGCCGATAACAGTTGGCCAACCTGTAGATTTGAAATCATCGATGGACGGTCTCAACCACTACGTTATCGATACGAATTAAAATTCTGGGTAAATTTAAAATATCTTGAAGCAAACATCAAATTTGAAAATCATAATCGTCATGCTCGTTGACATCACCAGCTGAACGGCACACTTTTCCACGGGTCCTGAACCGAACGTTAAGTAGAGTAGTTTTGTTCTAGGAATAACGAACAGGATATCCGTCAAGACGAGCACTTCAATTGTTTCCAACCCGATCGGGTAAGTTAGTAATTTATTGTTGTATTTCCGGTTAGAATCGTACGACGATGTGTTACTATATCTCCTTATTATCACTACTCTACAAAATTCGAATACCGGCCGTACGATCCTGTCTCATTTTTAATTTAATTTTTCTTCTCTATGATCCGACATCAATGTTAGGTAGTCAAATGGTGGTTTACCGTCAATGCCATTTCTCAGAAACCTTTATGATATATTTGTGCTGTCATTTTGCTTTACTAAATGACTGATTATTGACAGTTCCCTATTTAAAATGATTTTGTATGCATTCAGGAAAAAACTATAAGTAAATTGTAAGAATAATCAAATTTCTTTCAAATTATTTTATATTATTATTATTTAAATTGTAAAAAAGTATTTTAAACTAACGACGTAAGCATTAATATATGCCTACCAATGCATTAGTCAATGCTTCAATAATGTTGTATGAATTCAATATCCAAAGTACAGTTAATGTTTTTTGTTTTAAGAATATTGATGCGTTTTGTTTATTGATAAGTGACAGCATCAGTCTTAATGTTCCTTTATTGCGCTGTTCCAATAAAATAAACAATAACAATTGAAAGATAAATTGATTTAATTCGGTCAAATTTAAGTGTAACAGTGTAGTAGTGTACAGTTCTGTGTGATCAACATTAATATATTTATTTAGTTTTTTTATCCACTTTTAAAAATTTTATATTTTCACATTAAAATAAAATTTAATATAAAGATGAGTGAATCTGGCAGTGATTGTTGCAGACTTGAATTGGCTATAAATTAATGAATTAACTAAGTTTCAGACCAGATGTCTATCAAGATAATCATTGTGATGAACCATTTGATAAATACATAATTTGCTTGAAGGTAATTTGTTTGTATATTTATATTTAATTATATTATAGGGATGAATCAAATCCTATGGACGAATGTAAATCATTCAAAAAAGAATATGACAAGTGCTTTAATACTTGGTTCAGGGATAAATTTCTTAAAGGAAGTAATGATGACTCTATGTGTTCAGAGCTCTTGAAACATTACACTGGCTGTGTTAAGGTATATTAGTATGCTTATATAAAAAGGAAATATATATTTATATATATAATTTCAAAAAACTAGTACTTTAAAATGTATTTGAGATTCAAAATAGTTGAATTTTAAGTATATCTTTTATGTATACCATTAAAATATTCTATGATCAATTTTCCAATTAAAAATTTTGAACATTAAGTTGTTTTCATTTTTCAGAAAGCAATGAAAGACAAAGACATAGATATCAGAGAATTAAGGCGGTATCATACAGAGATTGGATCCAAAGATGAATGACCGAAAAAAACTAATCTTTTAGTTGTATTTTGATTTGTATACTAAAAATTAATATAGTTTTAGAAATAGTGATGCTGATTCGGTATGCGTTCTACCGGTTTTGGCATTATATACTCGGTCTACGTTCGATTAGGTTAGAATATTGGTCTGCAATTACTGTATATGTGTTATCTGCCTCGGTTTTATGTAATATGTTGGGTATTTCTTTCAACTGTTAATAATCTCTTATTATATGCAAACACAGGAGTGCAAACTCAAAATATTGAGAAGTCATGGTTTGGACGCAAAAATTAAATTATTGAAGAAAATGAGGGGTGTTCCACTTAATCATTTGCAGTCCCATCTTGATCACTATTGCTGGTGACTTACCGTCAAGACAGTCCGGATTTTTTTCTCGCCATGTTAGAGGACATTTAGTTCGTGAATAGAGATCGTCTTTGATATAACTCAGTCAAATTCACATGTACCAACTCGGACACATTTCGGTAAAGCTTAAACCGAATCATAAATAACAATTTAAAATATAAAATAAAACCCAGTCAAAACCATTAATGTAGACTGTAGAGCATATACAGAATCAGAAACTTGTTGGTTGAGTGTATACTGAATTAGCATTGAAATAGTATCTTTCTATTATTTATTAATTGTTTTTATATATAATTTGTTTGTATATATAATTGTTTAAATTGTCTGAATATATAATTTATTAAAATACATTTTTATTATTTTTATTTTACAGTTATAAAATGAATTGGACAGTCTTGTTGTAATATGATTGAGTAATTGTTAGGTAAAATATCTTCTGTAAAATGTAGGTTGTATTTTACTGCAAAAAAAAAAATTTAAGTTAAAAATGTACTTAAATATTATGGTTATTTTATTATTACTAATGTATTACTTTTTTTTTAAAAAAAAATAGCTGTACTATCATAAATACTAAGCAAATACTACACACTAATTTGTTAATTCTATCTGGTTAAGGCATAATTTATGGTTTTATTTTGACATAAACTATTCATTTTTATAATTTAATATTTAAGCTTATTTATTAAATTTAATTCATAACTATTATGTGCACTTATTTTGTGATATACTATCTTTATAAGTTATTAGTTTTACCTAAATTATTTATACCATTGAAAATTAAATTTAGAAAACTAAATTAATTTTATCAATGCCTTTATAGAAAACAATAACTAAACAATTAACTCTTATTGTTTAAATATATTTTTATTTAAGTCAACGATTGTATTATAGTATAACTTATAAATATTATATTATGTCAATTTAAATATAAAATATTTTATAAATTATGATAAATAAAATAAATTGATTATATTATACCAAGTTAAAATTGAAATACAAATTAGTGTTAAGTATTCACTTAGATAATAATGCTCACCGAGTGTCTCAAGGAACTGTTTATAAGTCTCAACATTTCTTAATGTACAAAACAATATTATTTCAGTTGTGTTATTGTTTAAAAAATATTTCAATGAAGTGCATAATGGTTCAAACATAGTTTTATCGAAGGTCACATCTAAAATAATAAAAAATTGATTAATGAGTTAGAGAAGTACATGGCTTTTAAATCTATATGTCATTACCAGCTGCTAACACTAAGTCTGGTTTATTCTCTTTAAACACTTTAAAATCTTCTATATCATCCCAGGAAAGTTGTACGGTTTTATATTTACAATTAAATGTTTTATAGGTTTCATTGATTTGTATGTTATATTGTAAAGACTTCAGTACAGTTGAATGACAATCTGTAAACCAGTATTCACGAGGTTCGCAATTTGTACACACGCTTATTCCACTTAAGCCTGTTCCACAACCAAGCTCTACAATAAATTTGTCTTTTAGTTTATCTTTGTGTTTCAAACACCAAATACTTAAAGCTACACCTGCCTGAAAGAAATATATATTACTTAGATTAAGCTAAGCAATAAAACACTACTAAAGTAAATTTAATGTTTTTTATTTTGCTGAAATATGACCTGCCAAGTACATAGTCCAGTAGTCCCATGAGAAACGATACTAGTACTTTCTTGAATTGTTATGATGGATTCGACTATTTCATTATCAACATTATTTTTAAGTATATAGTGTTTGTAAAACGGTCCTTCATTACTTTCTTTTTGAATAAGTTCTACATACTTCAAATAAAGTTCATCACATAACTCATTCCCATCATTTTCCATCTGAAAATAAATTGATTTTACTAAGTCGTTATGTCCTCGTAAACAACACGTATCTCCAATTTTATCAAAAATTATGTTTTAATTTCATAATATTTAATATCTCTTTGCAATTACAATTTATGAATCTATTTTTTTTCTGTTGGGTAGCCATAAAAGGCATAGTATTAACTTAATCTGTAAAGATCAATTATATTTAAATGGTGAAGTCAAAATTAAAAAGTTTTTTCACTCTCCTGAAAAATATTTTAAATGGAGATTCGTGTTGTTTATGTGGATGTGACAAAATATTATTACCTTAGCTCAAATGATTAAATTGAAGTAGAAAAATATATTCATATTTATTTAAAAAATTTAGTAAAAATTTTATGTTTTTATCAAATTTTTCTTCAATTAAATGTGTAACTATGTCAATGTTAAATCAAAACTCATAAGTAGTAGGAACTAGAGATGAGCAAAAAGTTTGAAACATCGATGTTTCGATGTATCTACATTTGAAACATTCATGTTGGTGATCAATATATTCGACAAAAATTTGATGTTTGAAAATATCGAAGAGTACCTTAATAAATTTTAAGAAAAATTGTATCTATGTTATATGTATGTATGTTATGTATAAATTGTAAAATCTTTAAATAAATATGTTATTTAAATATTGGACTTCAAATTAGAAAAAAATGATTTTTTTTCAACACATCGCAATAAAAACATCGATGTAGGATTTCGATAAATCGAACAAAAGCATCGATATTTTTAAAAAATCGATGTATTTTGCCCATCTCTAGTAGGAACCAAATTATAAACAAATACATAATTTTAAGTTTTTATCTATAATTCCATGTTGTAAAAGTTTCTACACTTGGAAATAAATAATCGTACAATTAAAATAGAATCATATAAAAATGAAGTATATATTAACCATATAAACTCTTATTATGTTTAACTTTAAAATATTATCATAAATTAATCAATGCATTTTGGATTTTATAAAAATATAGCAATTATACGATTTCATAGTCATACATAATTTATACTTATGAATTAAGTGTTTCATAAAATATACAATTTTATTTTGATATTTATATTTAATTGAATTGTTATAAGTATATATAGAATACATTTTTCAATAACTAGCAAATTTTTTATATTATATTAATATATATTAAAAATATTGTGATTAAGCGTGTATAAATTCATTGCTTACTCATAAGTGTTAATACTATTGTTAATGTTCTTATAAATAAATTTGAATCTATGTTACATTAACAATATATATATATATCTAAATTTTTCTCAAGAATTCATGTTTTTTATTAATACTTTTTGTACGACATAATCTTTAAATCGTATTGTATTCATAGAAATGCTGCCTTAATAAATATATTTTCTAAAATTCCTTTTAAAAAACTACAACTATACAACAAGATCATTTAATTATTACAAAATTAAAATATATTTTCTACTTACTGAAGTTTTTTATTTTTATTATTATTAAATTTATGACATTCTGGTGTAAGGTTTAAATTTAAAAATGTATGTACAAACTATTAATTGAATTATTGAATTTAATACTATGAGTAAAATACTAAGTAGCAATGAAATAATTTAGATTAACTTTTTTTAGTACAAAAATATGATTGTAATTGGATTTAGGTGCTAAACACAAAAAGCTAATTTGCAAAGATTCTGCACAGTTAATTAGACATTTTTACCTTAAAAGTATAAATATAATTTTAATAATATATTGATATTATTCAAAATAAAAATATTACTTTAACATGTTTTATTTTATCTTGTTTAAAGAAAAGAGAAAAACAAATTATTTCAGTCCATTATTTCATACTTGATTTATAATAGTTTTCAAAAATCTGGTTAGATATTGAGTTTTCAGAGGATATTTTTGCAATATTGGATGTGACAACATCGTCAATATGAAACTGAATTCATTTGAAATGTTCTGAAATACAATGAACATCAGATTTGGCAGTCACTTAATTATGTAACTGTTTTTTATTGTTACTTTAAAATTAATCGCTGTGAGTTGAGTGGCACACATGAACTGTCTAACCATATCATTATTCAAACAGTCGACAAACGTAAGCGACATCTCTGCAGATGATATAGAAATTAGATACGAAACAGTTGAAAATTATTGACTTATTTGTTTCTTACACTATTGTAAATTATTCCAATCATGTTTATTGAGTTCAGATTAATGACATTAAAACACTTCTTATAAGTTATAACTGCAATAATATAACATTATGTATGGAATTCGTTTATTGGTTTTATCACTTTGCACACGTGATATAACCAATATGTAACCGGAGTTGATTTTAAATGTTAATGGCAGTGTTTACTGATAATACTGATAATAAGGAACATTGCTTGATGTGGGGGCATGGCTATAGATCAGCGGTTGCCAACCGCTGGTCCGTGGGCTACTGATGGTCGGCAGAAAAATTTGATCGTCACTTACAGAATCTCTTTGTCGTTGTTTCCCAAAAAAAGAAGATCCTAGACATGTATTATGTGGATAATAGATCCATTTGCAGCAAACAATGAAAATAACAAGTTAAATATGACCGAAAAAAAAACCTCATCAATTTATTTAATAGTATTAATGTAAAAAACTATTTTAAGGTAAAAGTGGTTAACTTAGTGTTCTTGTTCACGGAGTTGAATCCTGTTGGATTGATATTTATGCTAGATTATGAAGTATAGATAAGTGTTTAGACACTTTTTTTATCAGGTAAATTTTATAATAATTTTTAAATTTAACTGATAGTCAACCCCTTAGTTATATTTTTGTCTATTAAATAAGGAAAAATTATTCTATAGTTCATATACCTATGATATATAATTAATCCAGTTTGGATTTTTATATTGTTTGTAAAAATTAAAGTTAAGTTTGATATTTTTTTTAGTACATTTAAATTACTATAGGTACCTATTGTTATATAATTTTAATTTTAACTAATTCATCAATTATATTTGTGGTATGAATGGGCGAACAACAGTTATTTTTTAATGCTTATTTTTTTCGCTTTCATAAATTGTATTACTATTTGGATGATAGGTGAATTGCATCCAATTTACTTATAATTAGGTGCATTGCGTTTCAGATGTAATTCGGTGATAGGTAAATTGCGTACCCGATGTAAAAATGTTTAGTATTTTTTTCAATGTTAATAATAGTTGTTACCATCATTGCCTGTAAGTGTGGCCGCTAGGTGATTGCTACATCATGTCAATCAAGCCATTATACAGTGTGTTACAAAATAATTTATCCGATTTTAGTAGTCTATAAATATTTTTCCTGTAATTTGAGGTAAACGACGCACCAACCATCTGAAAGGTGGGTTTATCTAGTTTTTATTGATTGCCGATAAGTTGTGATAATGTGCAGTTTAGTCAAGTGGCGTAACTTAATTAGTTGTTATCGAAATATCAACCGAGCAACAAAAGGCGTTATGTGCGCTAATGACGCTACATTTTGTCCATGGCCACGTTCGCTGGATCTTAAAATCTGTGATTTTTTTCTCTGGGGTTACATAAAACCAATGTTTATATATCTTCCCTTCTAAAAGATCTTGACGAATTGAAAAGTAGAATAACAGACGCCATCAACTTGGTTACAGTCAATATGATTCAATAGGCTTATGAGGAATTTGAATATAAATTAGATGTTTGTCGTGAAAGTAAGGGGGGAGACACATTGAACATTTATAAGCATTGTACCTAAAACTTAAACACTCCTTTAAAATGTAAAATTTATTCAAACCTGATTAATAAAATTTTACAATAAATATGATTTTTTGAAATAGGATGAATCATTTTGGAACAATCTGTATAATATAAATCCTTTAATATGCTTATTGTAAAATTGTATTATTATATTGTATGCATAGGCGCAAATTGGTACTTCATGTTGAATCATTTCTTTAACTATCTATTTACTTTGAAAATATCTTGCTATTATGGAATCTATCAAAAAATCTTTTCGTCTTATTTATTTAAATAATCGATTCTTGTTGAACACGAATAGGGCTTTGCAACATAATTTTGATGCATATAAACCAAAAAATAAATTTCTTTATTATTGATACTGTTACTATTAACTTAAAATACTCATCTAGATTTAATTATCAAAAAATAAGATCAAAGTTAGTAATAATAAATATATATTTAACAGTTTGGTATAAAATATAGTATTATCTATCTATTGATAAAATTGAACTTGAAACTGTAGATAAAATACATTTTCGTGAATTAGTCTCACATAAGTATTGTAATTTTTTTTAAATCTATTATTAATTCGCAAGTTACTTTTAGAGATTAAGAATCCAAACTTTCACCGTGAATCCAAAAAAGTAAAAGTTAGGCCATCTTCATGTAGCCCACCCTTTGTGACTATGAACTTTGAAATCAGTGCCAAACGAAAGCTAATGACTAGCAAAAATTTGCAATTAACTTGGCCGCTATAAACTTTTGAACTCCTGGAGTTGGGTACCCGTTTTGACCTAGGACTTTGAAATCATCGCCAAACGAAAGCTAAAAATTATCAAGTATTTTCAAGTTCATTTTTAGAATTCGCGAGTGAATCGGGTGGCCAGTAAGAGCTTTCTAAGAAAATGGCTAGGGGGTTACGTGACCAAAAAATTTTTGATTTATTGGGGACGGTAACGTATCAGAATTGGATTTTTCGGACGAAGAAACAGGTGAACTATTGAAAAGTGAAGAACTGAAAGAATTATTAAATAAATAATAAATCCATTTATGTTTTGATAGTACAAACAACTTTTTTCTTAATTTTCATCAATAAAAACGTTATTTTTATTATTTTATTATATAAAGGTTAGTTAGGTTATTGTATATATTATTTTTTTTTTCATACAAAGGGATTAAATCTAATTTTATTATAATTATGAATAAAAATATTCATTTTTAATTACATTATATTGCTTATTATATTTATTGAAACATTTTAAAATTTAATATGATCATTTTAATATTAATTTTTTGTAACCATTCAGACCCAATGTCCCATATAGAGGACATATTTCCAAAGTCATTAAAAACTAAAAATAAATTTTTTCAAAAATTAGTTTTATTATAGTCCACAGTAAAATAAATATATAAATATGGTTTTTTGTTGTATGTAAGTATACATAATTTTTTTAATAATAGTTGATTTCATACATATAATTGTGCTTCGTTTACATTAAATGTAAACTGTTAAGCTTTTTTTTTTCATTTTCATTTAATACCTTTTGCGTTTTTGAAAAAGCATTTTTCATTGTTTGTATGAAGATTGCATACTAGATTCAATTACAATATTGTATTGTATAATAGTAATATAATTTAGATATATCAAATATGACAGAGACAAAGAAAATATGAAATAATAATAACAAAAGTTCACAATATTTAATTGTTTTGTTTATTCAACAAGTTAATAGGTACAATATGGCATTATACCTAAGAACTAATATAGCTATTATAACTAAATCTAAGACATTAATAAATATGTAATCTATATAATAAAATATATTCCCTCCTAAATAGCCTACTTATTACTTCATAGAATGTTGTTGCTGTTGTTTATGCTTAATTATTACCATACATAATTACCATCAAAATATGCAACCTAAGTAACATATATATAAATATATATATAGCTATATTTATAGTTCATGCACATTACGATTTGTTTTAGTTTTAATTTTACATTTTACTGAACAACCACAATCGTGTCTAAAACTTCATTTCGAATGTCATGCGTAATAAAAAAAAAAAAATGTATTCAATAATATAACTTTTATTTAGTATAAATACGTTACTTATTTCTATGTACTATTACATAAATCTTAAAAATCCCATAAACAATTTATCACAATTTTTATCTTTAATTATAATAATATTTGCACTTATATTTTCTAGATAAAAACCTATTGATTAATGAACAAAATAATAAATAAATTAGTAATTTTTTTTACAGGTTTTATAATAATAAATCCTTGAATTTAGGACTGGTACTTAAATGTATTATTTGTTTGTTTAAATTTATTTCAAATATTCGACTTAGTGAAACTGTACTGATAATAATTTTTATAATAAATCTTGTATTTTAGTTGTTAAACATTATGTCTGCCGAACTATTTATTATTGTATAATTTCTTTGTAAACATAATTCACGTTTTGACAAACTCAAACAGAAACGCTATAATAATGAATATCTAATACATTTTGTATTCTAATAATTTTATTATATATATATATATATATCATAGTTTTGTAAGTAATATAATTAAATAAATCTATAATTTCAAAGAAGTATTATGATAAATCGTACACTTAAGTAGTAGTAATTAGTCTAAAAAGCTAATTAAGAATATTTTATATAAATAGTATAATAAATGTTTAAATTTGGATAATATAAGCAAAAAAAGTAGCGTAAGAGTACTTTGCGTGAGTTTCGCGATTATAGTGTAAATAATCTATAGTAATATGATAATTATATAATCATTCCCCATGATTTATTTATTTTTTTTTTTTTTGTAAAATATTAAATAATACGACGTTTATAATAATATAATATCATAATTAATAAGTATTATTTAAATATAAATTGTAATTTTTGTTTGTGTTTAAGTTTGTCAAATAACTGAATTTGAAACTAGATAGAGTTGAAATGAGTATGGGCTCAATTTACTCAACCTCAACTGTGTCCAGTTTCTTGTTTTAAATATTTTGGCTAGAAATTTAAAAATGTTCTCCGAAAAATTGTGTATACCTTGTTTAAGATTTAAATAACTATAATTTATATTTGTCTGTTCAAATTAAATTAACAAGAGCAACTTGCATACATTTTGTGTTGCTATTGAGATAAATAACTACAATTTTATCATTATGAGTAATTTCAAGCAATAATCTAGGCCAAAAATATTTAAATTTTATTATATTATTGTATTGACAGTAAATTTGCATGGATACGTACTCATGTTAAGTATCACTGTTGTCGGTAACCATAACTTTTTACATAGATCCTTCGCTTAAAAATATTCTGAAATATTGGAAAATCATTCTTTACAAATAAGTACCAGATGAAAATATTTAAAATTAATGAATGAATGGCAATGTTTTGACAATATTGTATTACGTAATTTCAATATGATAAAATCAATTTTAATAATAGAATAAATTGTGATATTGCTGTACACGTAAATATTAATATGACTTAGTAAAATAAAACAATATATATATTGTTTATTTGAATAAAGTTACGAAAAAAAAAAATAATAATAAGAAATAAAATTCGAGAAAAACTAACTATTGACTTAATAATATTAAATACATAAATGTCAGCCGTTATTAACATTGGATAAGTTATGTATTTATGTATATTGTGCCTTGGCATTTAAAAGAAATGCATATATTATGTTAAAGATCACAAATAATTATATTATTATAAAGTTAGAAATTATCATTAGAATAAATGAACCAACCCTTTCTGACTGGGTTTTTTTTTATTGTACATTTATTTACGTAAATATCTATACTTATGTATTATATTATATAATATATTTGTAAAAAAAAAAATTTTCATTTGGCGAAAAACAATTCCGATAAATTTATACATATATTTATATATAGAATTTTGGATCAATGACAGAAACCGTTTACAGAAAACCGTAGGTTTCGTATACCTTTAAAAATCGGCCGCCTTTGTCCTGGTTCTGCCTGAAAAAAAAATAATAATAATAAAATGTTCAACACAATTCTTAATAAACGCTCTCGGTAGAGTTCAAGAACGAGAACGTCTTTACCACAAGACAACCAGTAGAGGAAAAGTTATTTTTCGAGCTCTACATTTTTTTTTTAACTATCGAGTCCGGACCAATACACTCGGGACGAACGGGTTCGTGTTACGAAGATCGCGTGTACGGTTTATCGTCAGACAACAGCTGTGTCACAGTCATATGCGCAAACAAGGAATTTCAATGGTGGGTGAGGGGTGGCTTCAGCCCCACCATTTTAACTAAAAATTATAAGTCGTGGCCCATTTGTCCCATACCTTTAAATCAGTGCTTCTCAACCTTTTTCAAACTGCTGCACCCCTAAGAAGCAAAATGTTTTTTCAACGCCCCCCCCCCCATCCTTCACTTCATTAAAATAAAAATGAAAATAGTATACATGAAATGTTTATAATAGAATAATAAATAATATAGATATAAATATAAATATAATAAAAATAAAATGTAAAATTTTTGTTTAAATATAATTTAAAAGGATAGTTTAAATGTTTTGAAATATATTGATCAGTGAAATGCTTGGTGATTCAAAGCCAATGTTTTACAAATGGTTCGAAATTTGTGAGATGAAGCCGTAAGTCTCCTTTTTTGACGATGTCTAGTCGATTTATTTTTTGTTACCTATTAGATAATAACGCATTGCCTCTGATATATGTAGTTTATATTTCATAATCACGAATTTATTTAAGAAATTGTTAAACGGAAAACAATTACAGATAAATCTTAGTACGTAGCATTGAACGGAAAAAAAGTTCACCGCCCCCTAATCGCCCGAAATGAGCTCTACCGCCCCTCAGTACTCCTTCACCGCCCGCCGGTGGGTGATATCGCCGCCGTTGAGTAGCACAGGGGGGGAGAGTATTTACGACCAGGACTTACTCGTCTTCCCACGGACACACGTCGTTGCCGTCGCTGTTGGACGACGCTGCCGCCGATTCGGACTCCGCAGCGGTTTCGGGTGGATGGCGACCGTCGCCGCTGGCTCCAGTACCATCGGCGGCCGCTTCCACTGATACGGCCACGGTGGACGTGAGTGCGGCCGTGTCCTCAGCCGCGTTCGCGCCTCGTCCGCTGTCGGTGGTTCTGTCTACCGAGCTGACGTTGATCACGGGCGTGACGCTTTGTTTCCTGGCCAACGACAGCGACTTCAATAGCTTCTTCCGGTTGGACTTGGCGTCTAACGACGATGACGACGGCTGTTCGTGCGGCGACGGTATCAACTTCTCCGGCGACCTGCTCTCGGGTGACGGCCCGAGGTCAATATCCTCGGCCGAAGACACCGACGGCCGGTCGACCGTCTGCTGCGGCGTACACGTGGCCGACGATCCGCGGCGTTTGTCCCCGCTACCGCCGCCGTCGCTGCCAAGACCGCAACTCCGTCTCAGGCGGCTGGCCACCGAATCGGATTGACTCTCGTCGGCGCTCGCCGAGTCGTACGTCGCGTAACCACCGCCTGAGTTCTTGCGTGACGACGACGTGGACAGCTTGCGCTCGCGTTCCTCCACTATGGGCATCGACCGTTTCTTGTCGTTACCGTCGGCTACGTCCCACGGGCACACGTCGTCCGCCATCGGTTGCAGTTCACCGCCGCACTCTTCGGCCCCGCTCAGGTTGTCTCTACAGAGGGGGGGAACGGTGAAAAAAAGAGTGTGTGAGAGAGAGAGAGAGAGAGAGAGAAAGTAAAAGAGAGAAAAGAGAAACCGGTGACGATTAATAAACGCGTATTTTATGTTTATAGATAATTGTATAGATATTTTCATTTGAGAGCTATGCGCTATACTCGTTATCTTTGCGTCGCTAACCGCCTCGTGTAAATGTTCGTCTACGCGTCGGCTCTGGCTAGCAGCTCCACATAGATCCGCGCGGATAACAGGAGACCGGACAGGACGTCGGCAGTGTTTTCAGGAACAGAGAAAACATAAAAATTTAAAAACATCCCTGTGCTGATAATTTAATTCATCGACCCCTGATTAACAATAATAAATTCGAATTTAATTCAACCATCGAGATTTCTCCGGTTTCAACCGTCGTGACACCATCATACTTTTTATGGTGCGTTAAATTTTTAGTAAAAATTCAATTTTATTCTGAAAATTCTGATCGTTAGATTAATGACCTGACGACGATAGAATGAATCCGCAGTTATTTCCAAACGATACTCGTCCCATCCAGTCTTTTGCTATCGATATGCTTTTATCTATGTATATGCAGTAACATGTTAGGTATATTATAATATATGTATATATATATTTATATAATATTTACAAACGCACACGCACAAATTGTTCGTATTAATAGGTAGGTATATAGGTATAGATAGGTACGGGTAGATTAAGTGTACGTAGAATTCGTGATTTGAAGAAAATAGGGTAGAACGAAATATTAATACATACATACCATTGATTATAGCTGCGGTTCTCAAACTTTTTTGTTCGCGGAGCTCTTATGTCTTTAAAAAACTCACGTTCTCGAAATCAGGAATTTATATTCAAGACAATAATAATTATTAATATTTCATGTTAAAAAAAAACCCACAGTTCAAAATCAATTTTTTTTTTAGAAGTTCGGATTTTGTCGTTTTTTGGAAAAACTGTGGTTATTTTACGTTGAATTGATAAATTTACTCAATTTAATTTTGTGATACGTAGTACCAACCAAGTAATTAAGTCAGAATAATCAAATTCTTCATAACTAAGAAACATAATAATATTTAAATTTAAATAATTTAGATGTGTCCACAGAGCCCTTAGACTTCTCTCGTGGAGCAAAGTTTGAGAACCGCTGGATTATAGAATAAACAGAAGGCCCATGCAATGTTAATATTCGGATAGTAATCATTCGTTGGATGCAACGTATATGGAGCGCTAGTGTAACTTGGATGCAATGTTGGTGTGGTGATTCCTCTATCTTAGGTAGATTAAGATGGTGGTAGGAAACGGTTTTCATTTTAGATCATATTCTAGTATAATAAACTATTTACTAGTAGTAGTGATACTACTACTAGTATTATCATATTATGATCTAAGGTTTTCATAGTTCAGATTGTAGTGAAGTGCAAGGGGTAGTTAAAAATATAATTTTTAAAATAAAATAGTAGTGTAGGCATCTATTTTCCAAACTAATAACGTTTATTTTATTTTTATTTTCAAAGTTTGTTCCTAAACTTATTTAACTATTATTTCAATTATAAATACAGATTTTATTATCGAAGAAACACTTAATATTTATACTGATATATATACTATATAAGTACAACAGCAGGCTTACGACTCCAAAGTCGCAATTTTATTGGAAAACGATGGTCGTCAGTTACAACCACCCGTACGTGTAGCTTACCTGTTTGACGAGTTGGTCGTAATTATGGCCGGTAGAACACGATTGCGTACGTTTGTTGATGGGTAACAAAAAGGTGGGTAAGAAAAATAAATAAACACGATTGCGTATGAAATTTTATGCAACGTTGTCAAATTTACTAATTTCACCGCATTATTATCTAATAAGAATACATAGGTATACTAGTTCTATAATAGTTCATAATAAAAATGATTAATAAAATAATAAATAAAATTAGAATAACTAAATAAAAGAAAAATAATAAATAAATAAATACAATCGACAGTTTTTAATTGAATGAAATTATTGTTAATAAATTATTTGAAAATGCTTAAATTTGGATTCGTTGACATCTATAACCTACTACTTTTACTGAAACTTGGAATATACCGTATAATATAACGGAAATAACGATATTTCGTTATATCTGATATATTTGATATCATTAACAATAAACATTGGTAATAAAAGCAATAAAACACAAAGTATTTATTAACATTTTAAGTTCTCTCGTATAGGCATGTGGTATACACCAATTCCGGTATGAAAATTGACATCAACTCTTAAAACTTCGTATACAATCGTGTAGTTAAGAATCAAGTAAAATCATACGTATAGCTAAATAACGAACGTACGCAATCGTGTTTTACCCATTATAGCCGCGGAGGAATCCACCGATAAGAACAAAAATTATTTGTTCATTTACGCAACGCTACCTATCGACAGTCTATGTACACATAATTTAAGTATCCGCAAACCCCTATACTATGAGCTATCTGTTTATTTTAAAATCAATGATACATATAAACATACAGGTATACATATATTAATATTATGTTGTTCATCAAAGTGTATTATGCAAAAAACTATCGGGCGTACAAGCGTTTCTTTATTGTATATTCGCCGTTAGTATGTTTTCGAATAATAATCTGAACATTTGACGAATCGCATTTGTGGGCAATATTGTAGGTATTTGGTGTATGATATTTCGATACGTATGCAAATATAAACGGACAAAATACAGTTAAACCGCAATATCAATAATATAACAAATCGCTACGGGTGTGTTCTAATCTACTGTTAATAATTGAGTGTTTTATACAAGTATGTTTAATATAATATAAACCAATCATATCTGTAATTTTGGTACGTACTTATACCACTACTCGTGCAAAATACAAGAGAAGGAACTATAAGACATTAATATCTCTATACGTACACAGTATAAATATTATTATATCATCAACTATTAAACAAATATAGTACGTATAGCACTATATGTGTAGTATTAGTTATATTATAAGCAAAGAAGAAGTCAGTAAAATGGCCAACACGAATTGCACGCAATAATAATAGTAAGGATTTTTCATACGTAAAAAAGTCGTTCATATTTTTATAAAAATAAAAAATAAATACAATAGCTGATAAAGAAACATTGCATAGACGTTGTTTCAACTTACTGGTTGGAACTTGGAGAGGAAGGTGTGCAAGGTAAATCTCCCCTGTAAAACATGATTGTCTGATCTATTCAAGTGTATCATTACATAAGATATATTAATTGGCAGTAGGTATAAACATATATATATATATATATATATATATATGTGATACTGTGCATTTATAACTTATAACAAAAGTGTTTGTTTGATATATGCTAACATATTCAAAGTGTTAATTTTTGTATTATTTATAAAATGATTCTGTGTATGTGTTGTGAACGTGCTATTTACGAAAAAAATAATCCTAGTGCAAAAATACTTTTTAGTGAAAAAGCTTAGTATACATTAATGCATATAAAAGTATTTATAATATACATTATGCGTGGGTATTTAGTGATTTTATTTTTTTTCTCTGGTAGGTATGTATTATGAAAAAATAAAAAATAAAAACGAATAATGTATATCTACGTTTTAAATAATAAAATTACCTATAAAATGCGGTTTGAAGTAAAAATACATTGGTCTACGCGCTATTGACTATACAAGCATCGCTTTTTTGTTCTTGAACTTAAGTGACAGATGTTTTAAAAATCGATTTGGTCACATTTCCAAATATTTTTTATTTAATTCAATATAGCCCAATATGTGTTGTTTAGTTTTAATAGATTTAATGACGTATTTTATCCAAGGAAGTAGATCATTAAGAACGGACATACATACATACGCCTAAGCGATATACACTCATTGGTGTGTACGTATAATACGGCGATTTAATTGACAGTGGAGGTGATAAAATATTATAAGCTCTGCCATCCGTTAAATCAGACGTGAAATGTTATGATACGATACGCATACGGCGTATGTCAATCTTTTGATAAATTATGGGATAACTGAAGACGATCGAACGTTTATGTATATTTCATATAGAGATATGCTATCTTTGAGTTTAATAAGAAAATAAATATTATCGATTTTGTTGGTAAAGAGTCGTTTGAAAATAATTCGTACATTATAAGCGATTTGGTAAGCAATGACGAAAAAAAAAAGAAAAGACGCGTTAGCGATGTACTTGTTCACACTACCTACTCACGTTGCATTAGCATATGGTTTTGAAAGTAAATTATTTATTTCATTGGCATGTCAATGAAAATAATCCCTTTTCGGTATAATATCAAGTAGAGCTTCACTATTTTTTTTTTAATTTTGTATATTATACAGAACGGATGATCTGTGCAAAATTCAAACGTATTATAAGTCACATTTTAGAAATTTTATTCGTTCATGTGAATACATAGTACTGTACACAATACACGATGTGTATTGCCCAATTAATAAATTATACCAGTAAACACATTAAGTTATGTATATAAATCAATATATATTTGCGTATAACATATGGTTGTTTATATGTATGATCATGGTTGATTTACTTACCTATATGGTATGTCACTGAGATTTGACTGACTATGGGATTGCAAGACTTTCATGGAATTTATCGGAAGTTCGTGTGGTGAGCTAGTCAGACTTCTGTCGCTGCCCCTTCGCTTTGCGCTGCTGCAAGACGACGATTGATTTGCTTGCAACACTGACGATGATGTGCCCTGTTGGTTTGAACATCCTGTACCTCTTACGCGTTCTTTGCAATCCGCCTTTTTGTTGGCAGCGCCGCCGACTAGTCCGAAAAATCTAATTAAACGTAATTATGTAGATGAAATCTATATTTATCAATCATCCGTTATACCGTATAATGTTGGTTATAATAGTAAACAATTTTAAGGTAGACTATACTTGTCTTATTTCAACGATCGCATAACTACCGTGGGTATTTACAATTTTATGGTAAAATAGGAAATTTAATTATTCATGTTATTACCTTCGTCTAGCCGAAGGCTGAACTCCATTAGCGAGTAAATTCTTGTAATGATCTGATCGAATGAACCTAGGGTAACAGTCTTTTTTCAGAAGTAACGTATACACATGTTCTGCAGCACTATCAAAAGTGAATCTTGATGGAACTTGCATTTCTTTATGAGTTCTCTCCATCGTTTTACCATCTATATTAATTTCACATGGAGCACCTGGCGCAAGGAACTCGCTAAAAATTATAATAAATAAATATAATAACATAATGTACCTAATAATAATTATGTACCTTTATATTTAATATAACTTGTGCTAAGCTTAAAAATAATAATTTATAATATTAATATATTATTACGAACGCACTTAGGTGTCCGAATGTAAATAAATTTAATCAATACCCAAGTTGTTAAAAGATCACTTTGAAATGTGTTTGGTGCACAATTAAATAAAAGAAACGATTTTATTACTAAAAAGAAATATAATTATATAAACTTTGCATAATGCTCTGTAATGTTATGGATGACAAAAATCAGTGGTGGATTTAACGGTCGTTTAGTCGGCGAATGCCGATGGGGATCCTTCCTAAACTGTTTACTGGTTTACCTAAAAAATTTGTTGTTAATTTTTTTTAAATTTTACCACAAGAAAAAATTATGATACAAACTGTACTATTATTTACAAATAACTTTGTAAAACGAGGTTAAGAATGTTAGTGATACATTTATTACGAGGCCCCTCTTTTAAATTTTCCGACTTTATTTGAATCTTTAAATCCGCCACTGACGAGAATGCTGTGTGTCTATCTCCGGACTGACTCGTTGGCGCTCATGCCCAACAAGCAGTCCCGCCGTCCGGTTAAGGAGCTTGTTCAGCATATTCCTTTAAACCGACGGTGTTTCATATGAAAAAACAATAATATGATATTTATGTACACTAATACTAATACCACTACTTATTATAATATCAAGGGTTCATAACAATATTATTTTTCAAAATATTTACTTATTTAAATATTGCATTCGTAATTTGGGTAATCAAAAATATTTATAATAATACTTCAATGTGTAATATTCCCAAAGTTATTTTTTTTTCAAAGTAGAGTTCAGATTTTATTTTATTTTCTTCTTGGTTGTAAGGATTTTACTCTTTTATAATTTTCAATTTAGTTCCGTACGTGTATTTATATACATGTATTTAGTTATAATTTATGTTATAGAACACTCACTCATATATTTCTTTAACTCTTTGCAGGATTTGTGACTGACAACATCGCTTCAAATCATTGACTGCTAACCAAAACCTTATGTTTTCGTGGCTGTATTCTTTTCGAAGATAGTTCGTAAACTCGTGAAGACCTGATTAAAATGAAAAATATGTTTATCCAGTAAAATGAGCTCTAACAGAAAATATATCAAGATTTCAAATACTACTACTACTCTATAAGGTACGTAACATTGATATGAGCATAGATTACATTTTAAATCAGTGAATCAGTGAATTGCTTTAATACCAGTATAACATTATAATTTGGTGCAATACTCATTATTAAGAGTAATTAAAATATTTAATTTATTGCGAATATATGTGTTATATAATACATATACTGCTGTTGGGTTGCTATAATTCAATCTTAAAAATTTCATAATTCTCGATGGTTCGAGCTATGTGTGAGTTATCTTCAAATGTATTGTATGTATGTTATAATCTTTCCGGATTGCCCGAAGTTTTTAAGACATGGTCAATTTTTTGTTTCGGAATAAAGTTATCGTGACTCTATTGAATTATATTAATGTATCTTAAATTACTGGTAAACGATAATACATACAAAGTGAGTTACTATATTTTATATCCCCCAATAAAATTAAAAGAAAATGTTTGTTAATCAAATTAAACCCTTAAGTAAACCAATTTACCTGTTGCATCGGATACTAAATCTTCCATTGACAAAGCCCATCGTTTTATGCGTTTTTCAGTAATAGCTTCCACCCTGAAATATTTTAACACCAAAAAATATTTAATTACATTATGCACAATTCTCATTCATTCTCAACGATAATATTATTATCAGTTATTTATACAAACGTACATAGGACAATTAAATGTCCAAAACGTCGCGTCGTCTGTTACCCAAGGATTCGATGGCTGTGCACCAGTGAGTAGTGGGTCATATTCATGATAAGTCTCACCGAAAGATACAAGACCATCCAACGCTACTGATGTTTTGACTCGGGTTCTTCCGATGCAATTTCTTAATAATTCCACCTGAAAAAATGTCGACGAATATATCGATGGATTCTTAGTCTCGTTGATTACTACTTAACATTTATCATCGATTAGATTTAAATAAAGTTTAATAAATAATGTTTTATATAACATATATTTATTGTTTGAAAAAATGTCATGTTAAGAAATATTTCATGAAATTAAACGTTTTATCACGAAACAGGAATTTAAAGTAGTTAACCAAATATGTGCGTGTCAATGGTTTTATATATAATCTACTACAATATATAATATAGTTACTATTACAATTTATTTATTAAAGTCGATCATGATATTGTTTTCTATTATTTATTGCAATATTATATTTTATTTATTGTAATATTATATATTTTTATCATAATATTAATTCTTATATTCCTTATATTTCCATATACTATTATATTATATATTATAATTTTTTTTCGTTTACTTCTCTCCGGAGATCTTCAGAACTTCTTTTTTTTTTTGACGAAAAGCTGCCACCAATTTTTATTGGTATTTGTTCCATAACACTCACACATCCTGGAGGAGGTCGATGTACTCTCCAAAATGCCCTTTCTTGACTATCAGTCACTATTTTTTCGCCTTTTTTCCTGTCCTTGCTCAATCGCACCTAAAATAATCGATCGTTATACGTTCACGTGTCATCAAGATTGATTACTTAAATTGATAAAAACATTATTCAATTTTTACTTGTTCTTCAGCCTGCATCGTAATAAATTCCCATTTGTTTTGTAGGTTTTTTTTCAAGCTGTTTAACGAGTCCTTTATTTATATATATAAAAAAAAATAATAATAATAATGAATAAATAAATAATTATTTAGTATAATAGAATAAAATATGTTTTTAATTTCGTGTATTCATGTTTACATAAAAACAATAAGAGTTCATGATAAAAAAGTTTTAATTGACTTATAAAATGGAAATAGATTAAAGTTCTCTATTACGTTAATTTATACATGAATACACTTTAAGGTTCAGACTTCAACATTTATTTTAAATAAATTGCCCTCTTTTCAATTAATTTGTAAAAAAAATTAAAAAAAGAATAAACTTGTATACTTGTGTAAAAAAATTGTAAATAATTGGTTTTGACTGTTATTAAAACTGACCATGTGCATGCAATTTAATATGTATTCATATACGTGTAACCTACTTGGTAGAAGGTTCTGATAACTTGAACCTGGGTAACTTATATAATATTATAGGTCCTTTCAAACATATTTTAATTTACATTAATTTTGATGTCAAATTTGGTTTATTTTTCACTCCTCTCGGGGCAAACGCTAATAAATTCTTAGTTCTATATCTCTACATTAACATTATTATTTTCCTTGAAATTTCACCAAACAAATGCAAATTTCAATTGCATTGATTATCGGTAAAACTATTGGTTATGCTTAACACTACGTTTATACTTTCATTTTATAATATTAAATGTGCCATATAAAAGTAATTATTATTATTATTATTAATTTAATTTTGAGATAACAGGCATAATTCAAAGTACATACATTTATGATAAAATATTTTTTAATGCATTAAAAAAAAAAAAAAAATTAAATGGAACTTATAAAAGTAATCTTACATTGCTCATAATAATATATCAAATAAGTACCAATTCACAAAAATATCGAACACTGATGACAATACTGTTTTTTTTTCACACAGAAAGTTTGATAAACCTAAAATATGACTTAAAATGTATTTATAAGTCGTAAAAGTTGTGCAATACAAAAATATTTAATTTAGGTGAGTGCTTTCACGTTGGCAGAGATGTTTAAAATCAATCTGCTTTAATTTATCTTAACTATTCATACCTTATGTGAAAGACATCTTCATAATTAAATGAAAGCCATAGTTATAAATAATAAGCATAATAAAAAAATGTGTTCATAATACTTCAATCGATTTATATTTAATACGTACAGACTTTCCAATACTAATGATCATATATAGGAAACACTTTAAATTGTTATGATAATGGTTTTAATTTGCAATCTATTTAAAAAACTATCAATCCTGATTGACGAATCAATCATTATTTGTACAGCTAATTTGTTTACACATTATAATTAAACTGTACACTAATAATTGGAGGTCTGCGACCGTAAATATTTTATACGTAAAAAAAGTTTATAATCAAATGTCCATAATTTTGCTGAGGCATTAACTTTAGTATAATGAGTGTTTAAATTAGATAAAAACAACAGTAACCAAATATTAATAATTTATAATAACTTGAGAAGTAAGAGTAAAAAATAATAAACAATTACCGTCCACTGCTACGTCTGTAGCACCGGTAGGTTTATACAGTTTATACAAACAGTTACCCGATATCCGTATAAAATAAACTTAAACCTAAACGTTTCCCGGTTTAAATAATATTATAAGGTTTGAATAATTGTGATACCCCTAAATCGGAACCCAGCAAACTGTGACCGGTATTTATATTATAATATTTTATGTTTATAAAGAAAATGTATGTTTACCATTTCATAGTCTTCCAAAGCATGCCGTTGTTTGTTTCTCAGCAGTCGTTTTGATAGGTATATTGCATATTCTACATTATCAGGATTTTTTTGGGAACATGGCCAATAATACGGAATCTATAATAACAATGTGAATTTAAATAATTTAAATAAAACATTGAACAGTTCAATAATTGTATATTTAATATTTATCTATTTAAGTACTAATAATCTTACTTGAAATCTGTATAGAGAACTGTCATCTTTTAGAGTAAGAGTTTTTGAGTCATTTACGGGGAAAAAGTATCCGTATTGACATAACATGTTGGCTATATGAACCGCTTCTACAGCAAAAATAATATATTTCATTTAATTCGAAAAATAAAACACTAGCTTGTCTTGACATCATCTTAAGTATTTCAAAATTTTTAAAAGTTTCCATAGTCAAGATTATTATTAAAATATACGAATAACGCTATTGTGAATATTAATTTTATTATAATTTAAGTATTTATGGTTAGGTTAGAAAAAAAAATATCTAGCTAGTATGATTTAATCAATATTACGAATAAATATATTCAGATCATTTGAATTTACGGACTTTCCTGTAAAATTATTTTCGTTGTCTATAAAGAAAAACTTAGGATGAACTTTTGTTCAATTGTCAAGCCTTTTTGAGTAGTATAATTCAATTTAATATACATTTTTAACTACAAAATTATTTGGTCATATAAATCTCCAACATAAAAAAGTTTTTTTTCGTGTATAAACCGTGAATTGAGCGAGTGCAGGTTACTTCCACGCGAAAGGTTAAAAACACTTATAAAATAAAATAAAAAGATATTTGATAATTTTCCAAATAAGTAATAAAATTGTACAAGAAATGTTGTATTACATTTTTAAGATTTTCGGTAATACTAACATTTTTTTTATCAATATTCTAACAAAACATACCAATTTCATATTGTTATTCGAATACTATAACAATTTTTTTTAAAAATTTTTTGTAAATGATATCATTTTTTAAGAATGATAGTATTAGAATTTAATGAGAATTCTAAGTTTCTACCATTATTATTTTTGAGTTACGACGTTTGATATCACGTAAATATTACAATTTTTGTAGATGTTCGTCAGCTCCTCCTAATTATTCAGAAAATACTGAAAAAATAACCTCAAAAATGCAATTAGAAAATTCTTCCAAATAAAAAAAGTTCTACCATATGATATCCCTTCTATAGATGTTTTTAGAAATCGTAGTCAAAATCGTGTAGATGGACAAAAAAAAACAGAATCTACAAAATAAAAAATAAATTTAACAAAATTTTATATTAATAAATCATTGAGTCATCTGGATATATATTTCATATTTTTCTATTTTTGCGTATATTTCAAATAAATATTCTAATTTATTCTAAAATACTAATTTTAGGAAGTATGATATTGTTTATTTTTTTCTTGCATGTATTATATGATTAATGATTAAGTATGTTCAAATGAATGTATTCTTTTTACGTTCTTAGTCATATATCAAACTTCAAAATGTTAGTATAGTAGCAAAAAGTACGAGCAGGATACATTGACTGAGTTTTGGGTATTCGTCCCGCTTCGCTTACTTCAGCATATATTAATAATATACATTTTAAAACATTGATATGTTATTTGAATTCGAAAAAAGTCTTGGGTAAAGTTGGGTTCTCTATATAACAGTAATTAATGTACTTTTTTTAAATAATTATAAATAAAGTCTTTTATAATAATACTTTTAAATTTATAAATGATTTCAAGATTTTTTTTTTTTTTATCTGAAATGATAGTAGTTAAATAATTTCATAAAATTACAGAAAATCTATAAAATCTATAAAATATTTAAATTTAGTATCGTTTGCGTAAATATTAGTTTGTACAGTATGTTGTCACACCCGAACCCCAATGTTATGGGCAGAGCCGTAGCCAGAGGGGAGCAATAGGACCATTTACCCTAGGTCTCAGTTTAGGAAAATGTAAAGAGGATTTCCTTAACGTCCAGATTGATTACAAATACTTGGCGTTATCCAATTGATATTAATTAATTATTTCTTACTTAATTTTCTTTGTGAAATATTAATAAATTTAACTAAATAAAATTAACTTAAATTTATACTTAAACGCTATCAAATATGCTACATTTTCAGTTATTTTTAATTTATAGTTATATATATCGAATTAACTTGCAGCAGACACAAAAAATCTTTAGAAGGGATCTGCTTAAAGGTTATTATTTTTTGTAATAAAACTCAAAAACACATAATAAAACTTGCTTAAAATGCCTCTTCAAGAATCCGCATCAAACGAGCATCTGAAGTTAAGAAATATGAACGATATAATTTTCCACAATTATTTAAAAAAAAATTGAATTTGAAAAGTATATCATAATTAGCAAACGTTGATATAAGTATTCAGTGAAGATTTTATATCTCTACAATTATTAATTTTTGAGTTACGAAGAAAACAAAAATTAGATCTTATCGAGTACCGATATGTTTTAAATATTGTAGTATTTTCATAACTTTTCGTTTGTTTAAGAAATTTAAAAGAAAATATTGGGAAATTTGTAACAAAAAAATGTTCAAAATACCAATTAGACATCATATTTAATCAAAAACCTCTATAGTTTTGATAAATGGAGTAATCCTTCTAGTCAAATTCTTGTACACAGACTCGAAAAAAAAAAAATACACAACATAAGATCAATACATTCATCATTTCACTCAGAATCTAAAATGAACTAACTGCAACTTGTTATAATTTATATAATTTATTTACCGCTGTACACACTTTATAACCTCATTTTCACATTTATTCATTAGTTATTTTTGTATCAGTTTTAATATAAGTTTATTTTATGTTTTTAAATTTAATTTGATAAACCTGCATTTTAACGGTAAGAACTTTGATCAGATGGAATTCATTTTCAACCAGAATCAATTTAGTTTAGGTATTACACATTAGTCAATGTCATTACAGAAATGAAACTTGCAGTCATAAAAGTAATCCTCTTCAATATAGCATTCCTTAAAACGATGAACGGAAGAAGTACTCAGGTTATTTATTGCTATTGGCGTTTTATGTAGGTAATATCGATACGATATTGTATTCGGGTATGACGTTACATAATTCAACTACTATAGAATCCTGTAATAAAATGTTCTCAATAAATGCTAACCTTTAAAATAGATTTTTGTAAAATAAAAAACACCCAATACTTTATTTAACTTGTTATAATTACTAATTATTGTGATGTTGATGCTTATATAATAATAGATTAAACGAAATAAATGTATATTAATTTGTTAAATTATTATATTTTAGGTTGTGAGTGAAGTTAATTGATGATATTTATTATTATTTTTTTTTAACACTTTTTCGGATAGAAATACTGGTTCAACAATTTCATCTAGCAACTTTGTAGATTCAAAATCGACCTGTGGTGGTATATTTTAGTGAGGTAATTTTTCCAAAATCTCAAGAGTTTTTCTAGAAATTAGGAAAACTGCCAAAAAGTTGAGAAAAACGGTAAAAATTAACTGTTAATGAGACTTTGACTTTTCAAATTTTAATTATTTAGTTATAACTACAAAAATAATATAACTAGAAACTTTAAACTTTAATTCTATATCAAAAACCTTTTTTTCTATATTTAACAAAATGTTCAATAAAAGTTTATTACTTTTGGTTTAAATATAGAACTTTCTAAGTACCTAATTTTTTTAAAAAAATGTATGTAATTACAATTTTATTTTTGGAAATTAAATCTTGTAAATATAATATCACCTTATTCCTATACTTACTGACGAAACTAAAAAAATTTAAAAAATCAATAGTCAGAATTTTATTTTATAAGCGTTTAAGTAAATTATTAAAAAATATTTTTATAAAATTTACTTTTTTTACATCAATTTTCAAAGTTAAATGTTTATTTAAAAAAAATTGGTCAGCCAATCAAAATTAAACTTTGGATATAGATAGAAAAACATGTATTCAATATTTAGTTAAAAATAATTCTCCTTCGTCAAACAAAATAAAGGTCCTAAGCAAGAGCAGTATCTTTATACTTAAATACATTTAACTATTCTAACTTAACAAATTGTAGGCGCCAAATTTATTTGAAGTTCGAGGCCCTAGGTAATTTCCTAAGTTGCCTGCCCCCTAACGACAGCACTGTACACATGATTAGTAAAAAGTTATAAATTTATAACCATTAAATAGCAAGAATAATTATTTTTAAAGATTTTCTTACAGGTAAATAGTTTCACTTACCAGAAACAATAATACGAGTTATGTAAATGGGGTGGCATTAGAGTGTATACTATATATGTAATTATTGAAATTCTTATTAATTTTAATGATTAGAAAAAATTGAAATTACACAATAAAATTAGAAATATATTATTTTGATGTTCGACTACTCGATATATATTACATCGACAACATAAATTTTTTTTACTTGTATAATTTAGTTTAACTGAGTAATAACTTTGAAAATTAAAACAATTTGTTGAATATAATTGCATGTAATTTTTGGTTAATCTATCGTTAATCAAATATATATATACATATAAGAATGAATGATATTTTATTTGACTACTACTAAAAGATTATTCTTAGCAATATGATTTCATTGTATATTTATATATATATAATTTGTATAATTTCAAGAAATAAATTGAAAAGCTATACAACTTTATATACAGACTAACCTCTAAATATATTTAATTTATGTTTATAATTTAAATAAATTTAAATATCCATCATAATATAAAAATCGGATTGCTTTTTGATTTTCCAAGCTCAACATGTGAAAAACAATGAAAACAATACATATACAATAACAATATATATATAAAAAATTTGGAATTTTATGTTTTAGTGCATACATTTTCATTAAAAAAAAATTGTAATTACTCTACTTACCAGTCTCGTCGACAGTTAAACGATCCATTAGCCATTCAATTATGTTATAACCTATAACAATACAGTAGAGATTATGGTTATCGTATTACATAAACTATTCAGTTGGATGAATTTATTATTAAGTTCTATCAAAGAAAATTCAAACATATGATATTACATACTTTTAACTTATGCATAACATAAACACTAAAAAATAAAGATATTTTAAGTTGTTAATTTTAAATTAAATTTTTTAAACGTCAAGCGTATACTAGTGTTTAAATATCTTAAGCATATCAACATTTTATAAATATAATATAGTATTATATTACTCTATGCTTATTATTATAGGATGACTTTTAATGCTCTTAAAATGCTAAATCCTTTCAATTATTATGTAAACCTTCAAAAAAATAAAAAAATAATCATAATAATAATCATCATGCAAAGATTAAATTGCTATAAAGACAGTTAAATAAACTTTATTTTATTGAACACGAGTTACAAATATGAAATGATCCTCAAAATATTTCATTTTTAAATATTTCATTCGTGTTAACTATTATTGCTGTAATATTTTATATCTATTTATACTTCTAGTCTAGAATACTTCTTTTATAAAATGTTGTGTAAATAGTTATTATTAATATTATCATAAATTCAAAATCAACACATTGATTACTAATACCTGGTACTTATTACTAAAAGTTCTAAGAAACTATACTCGTAAATGATCAATTGCTTGTAAAATTTCGAAATTAGAACACTTTGAACAATGAATGAGAATAATATCTTGTATTTAACTACAAAAAATATCTATAATTTTGTTCTATAAAGAAAAATTTTAAATTATATTAAAGGAAAATCAGGTAATATTCATTTTTTAAAATTCTGAAAATAACGAGCAGTTATATTTTAAATCTATATTCGATCTATAATCCTTGGAAACTGCAAGTGCATTTATTGTATATAAATACATTGTACGTTATACATTTAAAAAATGTGAACCATTAACATTCATCCTAATTTACACAATTTTAGAGTAACTACGCCAAAATATCTCTTATAAACTAGGAAGATGTAATGTTTATTATATCGTTATACATATTATACTCGTGTATAAATAATAAGAATCTTTTAAACAACATAAATTGAATTATTTATTTTCAGTGTGTTTTATATAATTTATTTTAATTTATATGTTTGTTTTACATTCATGTAAATGTGTATGAAAATGTAAAATGCTGAACTGTAGAATAATAATAATAATAATACACGAGCAAATACACAAAATTTAGTTTAATATAACAATAAAAAATTTATACTGGAAATACTTTACAATTTTTACGACGAAATACTACTCCAGAAAATACTTAGTGTAGATTCGTGAGGATATTATATTATACTTTTGTAAATGTGTTTTTACTTTTTTTCTTTTCTTTTTTCAAGATATATTTCTTTTATGAAACCCCGTTAGGTACTCGCAGACATATAAAGTAAATATACGTTAAATTAAGATGTGTACCCGTTTCTTTCTTCTCATGCTACTTCCAATCCCAAAGTAAAAGTTTCAGCGTGTTAAAATGGTTCTTCCGGCCGGTGAAATTTATGCTTAGGGAATTTGTTTCAAAACTAAGGGTTGCCAACCGATATCGATTTTTCTAGAGTAGCTTAACACGAGGACAAAGTAAAACAACAATAAATTATAACACATTACTTGTTGTGTGCTCAAAAATTAATTTCATTAAATTTCTCGAGAAAATATATTATAATTCCCTCCAAACAAAAAATCTTTTTTTAAATTTTCAACTTGATTTGTTTATGGTTACGAATTGTATTTTTTCGTCTAAATGTACAAAACGCTAAGGTTATTGTTATATTTGTATGTTAAGTTAATTACAAACGTTTATTTGTCTTGAATTCAATGAAGTATTTTTTTCTCTAATTCTTACTAAAAATAACTATAAAACTAGGAATAACTATGTTATTGTTTAAATTATTTATAAATATTTACATTTTAAAGATTATGGATTTAAATTAGATTAGAATAATGTTAATCAACATTATGTTCGAGTTTTATTTAATTCCATCAAGGATTACTGTAATGAATTACATATTTTTAACATACTTTTTCACAAATGTAAACGGTAAATAGGCCACGAAATTAATAATTAGTTCATAGAATTTGACTATTATAGTTTTGCACATAATACTTATCAACTTATTACCTACAATAGTTTTTAAATAATATGAAAATACAGTGTTACTCCACAAATAACAAATAACAAGATACTTTTAATGCTTATGAATTGTTTAATTATTGTATAGTTATTTCGATAAATTGGTTTGTGAATACAACATAATTGGTATTCCATAGCAGTAACAGTTCAACTTAAATGCAAATTTAAATACGCAGTGTTAATTATTCGTTATTTCAGTATAATAAGTTTGATAACGATATCTGAAGCCTCTCAAATCTTAACGTTTTGATACTATATAATTCACTTTCAATAAAAATATATACATTAACAATTTTTTATCTTTATTGCTTTTGACACTTGCGTAATTAATAGTAATATAACGTTAATTCTGTTTTTTTTAATCAATGTTTGATAAGATTAATACGTGTATGTTTTAATTCGAAAATTAATCATATAGTTTTTAACTATTCAAGTTTTTTAATCGTTTTAAAATAATTTCATACACAATTTTTTCAAATGTCATAAACAATATATATATGTAATTAATTTTCATATATAATATCCAAAATATTAATTTTAGAAATCATAGCTTAGAAAAATGATTTTTAAATTAATATTATCTGTTATGTTTAACTAAGTGTAGTAAATTTGTTGAAATTTAAAAAAAAAATATGTAATACAATCAGATAGAAAATCTATTTCACTACAACGATCAATTGATTTTAATATGTATTTGTCATATTCACTTGATTTATACATATATGTCAATTACTTGTCAATACTTCAAATACCATGTAAAGAATGTGAAAGGCATTCTCTAGAGATATTCTGTTTGACTGATAAATATATATTTCTACAACACGGTAACATCATAATTTCTCTAACCTTCAATTTCAAAATAAATACTACCATTAATCATTTTCGGACGCATCAAACAATTGTATTTTAATTTAAAGTATTATATGTAATTTTTAATTTTTATTTAATACCTAATATTACAACTATAAAACGTGTTATTTTACTGTAAAAACTACTTAAAAAAAAAAAACTATTAGAACTTTTAAAATGTACGACACTTAATAATAGCATCATAATTTTTATTTATTATGTACATAATAATAATATATAATTACATTTAAGTGAATTCATCAAGTGTTCATGATTGTAGTAATTAGTATTGTAATGAACTAAATTAAATTTAAATTAATGTCAATGGATGTGGTGAAATTATACGTGTTATATTGCAGCTGATTAAATATTTATTATTTGATTAATAAATCGTACAGAAAAGCTATTTGTCGTTATTTTTTTTTTTTTTTTGTTGTACGTTTCAAAGCACTTAATTTCTCAGTATCAAAAGTAGGTATCATATCATTATGCAAGGTTTTCATTTTACCGAGTTCACCATTATATGACTTCAGGCTATTTGTATTTGATTTTCTGTATCTTCATTTTATCTCATTTTCTTTCCCTCATTCTTGGTCTTATAAAAGTGAATAAACTAACCTACGTCATATCAGAAATCTTGCGTGTGTTCCGCATTTACTTAATACTTAATCCCAAAGAAAACTATTTATAACACTCGGCTTTAAACAACGTAATATATTTTTTTATGAACACATAATTCTAAAAAATCTATAGTTTTTGTTTGTGATTTTTTTTATATGATTCATTTCGACCACTTTACATATGATAGACTTAGAAAATAATAAAAATGTATTAATGAATTTTAAATTATTAGTTTCTTTTAATAAATAAAACATGTAATACTAATAGTCATTGGAACTACGACGAATAATTAAAAAGAAATTTAAAACTCAATATTCATTACTTAAAAATATTAAAAAAGTTTCTCTTTTAATTTTCCGAAAACATGATAAAACATATATTTAATTAAAACCTTAAAAAACTTCGTAATTCTTAAGGTAATCATTTGCTTTTACTGTTGTTAAGTTTATACGAAAGCTATATTATATTTATTATTTTAAAGTTTGAATTACAAAAAGATTTAAGATCTTTTATTTTAAATCTTATTGTTAAAACAATTATAATTTATTATTTTATCGCAGTAAATTTTTAAGTAGACAATATTTATAAATAAAAATTCTTCTAAATGAATAATTCTTTAAAAAATCATGATAATATTAAATAGTTAATACTATTGATAGATAATTTTTTTTTTTACAAAATATATTTAATCTATAATTTTTAAACTATTATTTAAAAAATAAATTGTATTTTATAGTAATCTTTGTTTCCAATCTATAATTCTAATGTGTTTTGTGCTTAAACTTGATTTTATAAGATTTAATAATCTTTGAAACATATCACGCGTTATTGCAATTGTATTATATTCACATCTTATTACTATACTCGTAATCTTTACTACCAACGATAAAGTTTAATCATAAAATGGAAATTGTAAGTTTAGAATATTGAAAGGAACATAACAATTATTGAATTAAAAATTAAAATTGAATTCGATTATCATAAAATCGACTTGAATCAATTTTTTTTATCAAATATTTTGTATAATTAAATATTAAAGTGAACATTTTTATGTATATCTAAGTTCCTAATTTTTGTTTCAAAAATATGAGTAAATAATTTAATTTAGGATTGTATTTAATTTAAATTCAATAAAAATATTTAATAAATAGTAGTTTTATGTTAGAAATTCATTTTTGTCTAAAATACAAAAGCTGATGTTCAAAATAATTGAATAAACTTCATAAACTATATTATTAAATACTATTCTGATTAAATATATGGTTTGATCAGATAATTCAGTTATTTCTGAAATAAAATGTAAAATCACATAACAATTATATACTGCAATTAAAATCACGATGTACAAGATAGAATAATACTATTATGTGTCAATTATTTATGCTTAAAGAGTACTAATCGATTTCCATTTAAATACAATTAATTTTATTTCAAGTGATTTCCATCTAATAATTTTATTCTTTTGTACACGAATCGGATAAATTTATATATATACACCACAGAAGTCTTTGAAAGTTTATAATTAGTACTAATATTTACACTAAAGTTTAACGTTTAGTGAAGTATTGGATACTTACCGGCAAAAGCAGAAGGAATCGAAGTGAGAAATAACTTTTGACTTTTTACACGCACCCCAGTCTCTTCGTCTTTCATCTCTCTGACCAGCCCCTCCATCTGAAAATGTAAATTCAAACCTATTAACTTAAATTAATTCGACTATACACTTTAATTGGCTCTTAAAATTACCAAATGGAAATGCCCATCCGGTAAACTATTTTATCAACTCATCCAATGACCCATAATATTAACATACATTTCCTGGGGACAGGAAATCAGTAATTTGTATGATTTATGATGTAGAATGGGTAGTATGTAAACATTGAATGCATGCTCTGTAATTATATAGGCACATTGCATTGGCTTTTATCCCAAGTGTCACTAAGATTTTCTGTTCTTTAGTAGGTCAGTGAGGGTATGTGTGTATTTTAATAAATTCAGCAAATAAAATTAATTTGAGTTTAATCGCTTGTGAGTAGGAAATAAATGTATGTTCTGGGCATCCTACGCTTAAAATGCAACTCTCAACCCAGAAAAATGTAACCTTTCCTTTAAAATAAAACTTTTATCTCACACAAACCTAGCCAAAACCATAACTCTTTCCTTAAATCGCAATCCTTTAATTAAATAATTTCATACAGAGGTGATTGATCTCATCAATCAATGCACAAAGGTGATGTTTGGTTTACCATTTTTTTCTATTATTATAATAACGTACTAGTCGAAACATTTTCGAGTTTGGATGAAACCTATCGAGTTTGTCTGTCAGATTCACCCCACTGTTCTACAATAGCATTATTATTCTAGTACCGTACGGTGTCACTAGAAGCGCTGATGTTGCATCAAACTAAAAACAGAAGCTCACATACATATTATATATTTCATATAAACTGATACATTTGTAAAATCATTACTTTACAAATCGTTGAAGGAAATGTCGTGATTTACGTGTTCGGTTTTTATTTGCTTATTCAGAATTTAGTACATCAATTTCACGTGTAATTTATTTCAACGGATTAATTATATTCAGCTGCACGGTATGGAACTAATCTTTTATATCGAACCATAATATACACCGATATTCTAAATCACATGATGGAATTAAGTTTTTATACAGTTTTTGTCCTCAAGTGTTTGCTCGTAAAGACAATCTCATAAGACACAACCACGAAAATTATCGTAAGTATTTTTTAATACCTGTTAAATTATATTATTAGATTATTATAATTATATCATTAGATTTTGCCTGAATATCATACTAGTAATAGATTCATTAAATTTATTTTGTTATTCTTATTTATATAATATACCTAGTATAAAAACCGAGCTAATTTTTTTATTTAAAAAATGTTTTCAGCCTTAAATCAAACAATAACAACACAAAAACGTCTAAATATTCCATACGAAATGGATGGAAATTAAATAAATCAATATTTTCCAACAGATCATACAAAAAACTTCTATGATAATGATGGTAGTTTTATTTACATATATAAAAATGACTGCGAATTTGATACTCTAAAATCCTTAAAAATGCATTAAAAGTTCTAAAATATTAGGTTCATCGAGGAAAAAAATGTATTTTAATAGACAAGTGTTTGATAACCGTCAAAGCAACATGTGTTATCTTACATGAGTGCGCATTTTAAGCTTCGATAGCAAACACATTTCGTCACCTATATAATCGCTGCTATTAAAGGCATATGATTATTTTATAATAATATTACGCCAACAAATGAACACTAAAAAAGCCGGTCTAACAGCCTTCAAAAATACTTCCCAACAAATCTCCATCTTTAAAACCTCAAAATAAAAGAAATGCTACTAATTACAAAACAACAAATATTCCATTTAAACCATATCAAATTCAAAATGAGGAACAAACATTTCATTCCATATACCCATCTGCAAAAAAAAAAAATAAAAAACAGTTCGCATATCGCTACTAACTCCACCACCACGATGAGACAATCTACCTTTTCTACACACAATGCCAGCCGATCTACACACAACTTCTATCAATACAAACAATAAATTTAACTATGCTCTAGCCACGGCCAACTTAAACATATCGAAAAGAGAACAGGTTATTGTTATCCACCCGGTCGACGGACTATTACTCAAAGATTATATTATTGCAACTAGACAAATTATCTCTCCAAGCAATATATTTGTATCAATAATTTCTATGGGTCGTGTATGCGTTTTCTTATCTAGCGAACTAATATTAAATTCTCTCATAGAAAAATCACAAAACATATTAAAAATAAACAAACACATAATTCCTATACGCAGACTCCTCGATCCCGTTAAAATAATTATAATATCAAAAGTATACCCCTCTATTCCTAATCAGTCTATATTGGATGCATTTATGCACATAAACATTTCACCACTATCCGAAATAAACTTCCTCAAATCCAGTATAAATGAAATTAAATACGGACACATATTGAGTTTTCGACGTAAAATCTACATTAAACACGAAGATATACCGAAACTCCCTTGTTTGTAAGTAATAAATATAAACGAAACAAACTTCAGAATTGTATTTACTGACAAAACAATCATATGATATAATTTTAAGTCGACAGGACATCTATGACCTACAATACAAATACAATAAGCAGCCAAAATATCTCTCAACCACCTAACCGTCAGAATAATCAAATACATCAGTCTTCGTCTTTCAAAGAAGAACAAAACCCTGTATTGTTAGAAAATATTCAACTTCCCGAAAGTCCATCAATTATTTATGACATTCTAAAAACCCAAATGGACTGGACAAATGAAATTCCGCATTTTCCGTCTAACATATCAGCTCCAACTAACCCCGAATTGACATAACAACATATTACAACTACAGAAGTTATCCCACCAAATTCACCTTATACCATCAACCATAAAGAAAACATATTAAACAATAGAACTCAAGACCAAACCATTTTGGAAACAAACAAATAAATATACACACGTTACGCGAAGAAATTGACTCTAATGTCCCATTAATCTTTGAAATTACAGAAAAAATCCGCCCTTATATCGACGATCACTCTATGAAAATAAAGTTCACTAAACTTAGCAATTTATTATTTCAATTTTTACCTCTTCAGGACAACAATCTAACTTCCTAATCTCTAAGACTAACCACGCTAAATATATATATAAAAAAAAATTTAATTAAATTAAAATTAAAAAATTAAAACTTAAACAATATGAACATAATTCAATGGAATATTGATGGATTTTATAAACGTAATGTTGACATCCAACGAATAATATATGATTATAAACCTAATATTGTATGTTTTAAGAAACTAATTTAAAACATACACAGTCAAGTCAGATTAAAGATTACAATGGATATTTTAAAAGCCGCTTAAATCCAGTTAGAGTCAGTTGAGGCATTGCTATATTCATTAAAGACAATATTGAAAGCGAAGAAATTTATTGAAATACCCACTTAGAAGCTTTAGCAATATCTGTCAAATTTCAAAAACAAATATGCATATGTAACATATACCTTCTCGTCAGAACTTCATTTACTAGATAAGACTAGTAATCTAATAATAACACAATTACTCAAACCTTTTATCATTTTAGGAGACTTCAATAGCCGCAATACATTATGGGGTTCCACATATATCGATAATCGAGGCAAGATCATGGAACTTCTAGAAATTTCTGATTTAATACTACTCAAAAATGACAAACCCACAAGTTTCAGCAATAGATCTTTCTAATGTTTCTCCGATAATTGCACCCAATCTAGAATGGGATATACTTTCATTCTAAAACGGAAGCGACTACTGACCAATACTACTTAAATTATTCAGTTCAAATTCCCAATGAGAACCCGTAAATAAATCAACACTTTAATACCCAAACTGGGAGCTTTATTCTTCTTTAGTAGATCACGCATTACAAAATTCTGAGACCAATAAAGACACCTGCAATACTTATACAACACAAAACATAAATCAAAATAAAATGAATAAACTCATACTAGAATTAACAAATTCCATCATTGGAGCAGCTACTATTGCAATAGGAAAATCTGACCGTCCAGCCCACCACAAAATAGTCCTTTGGTGGAATAAAGAATGCAAAACAGCTATAAAAAAAATATAAAAAATCCTTAAATTGTTTTAAAAATACCAAGCTACTATTAGACCATATCCTCCTTAAAAAAATGCGTGCTGAATCTAAGTATATCATAAAAAGTAAAACATGCTCACGGAAAAAATGTACATAAACTATTAATAACCAAACCCATTCAACAACTATCTGGAACAAAATTAAAATATTTTAAATCCTTAGATAGATTAAGTGAAAAACTGAATAAAGGATCAGAGCAAGATATGATGATACAAAATACTTTTATATAATTTTAACAGTTACCATTATCAGTATGAGTTTAATAGTGTTAAAAATAATCTTAAAACTTAATACGAAGTATATCATATTGTTAAATGAAGTTAGTTTGTTTCACAGTGGGAATGCAGTGTTACACATTTTATTTTTTATAATTAAAATAAATGTGTAGATACACGATTTTATATATTTCAAATTTCTAAAATAATCAAATTGTTATTGACAGTTTTGTTCTATGATGTTGAATATATACGTACCTTGTCGAAGGCAAAAGGCCTGCGTCTACGATCCGATTTATCCATGTTGTTGGGGGCGGGGGGGCTGGGTCGCGTAAATGTGTCGCTTACCCTGGCTCCATCGGTCTCTGGCCCCGCCCCCTCATTGTTTTGGACACTCGTTACCCGTTCATTTGATCTATAACATAATATCAATGTTATTAATAATTTAAATCAACAATCGAAAAAAAACTACGTAATATAGTTAAAATTATTGATAAACAATTGTTTATAAATTGTTATAAATTGTTTACAATTTATAAAAAAAAAAATATAATTTCCTTTCTCTCTTATAATATGTACATTGAAGTAAATACAATAACATACATTATATGTTGGTGATAATTTTATAATGTCAACGTGATATGTATTAAATAATGGTTTGTAAATCAGATCAAAGAAAAATTATAAATCTTAATGTTATATAAATTATTTAATGGAAATTCCTAAACAGAATAGACATTAGAACTTAGCACAACATTTTAATACATTTTATCATTATAAAATATTCATGATCACGACGCAGATGTAAATATTTTTAAAATACAATTTATTTTACTTATATATTTACTACTATAACATATATAGTTAATGAAAAAAACATACTGCTATACTTCTTTGAACTAATATTTAAATAATATGGTATATATATTGTATATTAAGATTTATGTTAAGAATATATGCTCAATAATATGTTCGTTCTTATATCATGTACATAATATGTACATGTATTATATTAGATAGGTACTATTATTATTAATTAAGATTTACAATACCAAAAGATGATTTATGAATTTAAATATACGAGCGTTCTACAAATAGTATTGAATTAAATAAATAATTTAGAGACTATAATTTTTTTTTAACTGCCATGATGGACTGACACCTATTAAAAAATTTTTTAATAGCCATATCGAAAAAATTATTTTGTGAACATGCTCTTTTACAAATTCAAATAATTGATACTTTTGAGCTTTAAACAATAACCGTAACAATATAAATTGATTAATATATATAAATAAAATAAATCACTCCGTGTCGGTTAACTCATTATTTTTAGAGAGGATTACAAAAAATTTGTATACATCCATACCAAGTTGATAGTTTAAATTACTGACAATAAAACTATTTTTTCCATTAAGAACCGTATTTTTAACATATGATATCACAAATTACCAAAACTTTAGAAATTTATTAAAAAAAAAAAATGATTTTGTTTTTTTTATATAATTGTATACATTTTATTGAATTGTAAAGTCTTCATTTATAAATTGAAAATATGTAATACTTAATAATTTAATAATTAAAATATTGTAGGAATTAAAAAATAAACAGTTCTATATCAAATGTATTCATTACATACTTCATAGCTATTATTTTATTTTTTTTTTTTATATTCAAGTGTACGTTACAACGACTTCTTTATTAACGATATAACTTAGTAAGTAAATAGTAGTGTGATAGCTTAAAGCAGAAAATAGGTAAATAATTGATACAAATGCAGTGGTGATTTCTTATAATGTTATAATATTTATAATAAAAAAATAAAATACTAAATTAAAATTAAAATTAAAAATTAGTATATGATCAATACTTGTAAATTAATATATTAATTAACAAGCAAACACATATTTTATAAATAGAAATAAAAAAATACTTATTCTTGAGTATTAATATATTTGTAAAGTACGTCTGGTTTCAAATTAAAAATTCATCATAAGGTATATACAAAGTCAATAAAATCGCAACTAAGGATTTATTTCTTTACTTATTAATTTATTAATATTAATATATTTTTTATACTTATATATTTTTATAACAAAGTTTAAGTAAATTTGAAATTTAGGAAACCATCTCCCCTTCGTCGATGGTTCAAAAAGAAAAAAGGAAGGTAAATTTAAAAAAAAAATTATTTGAACAGAAATGGTTTTTGGACGTTAGAAGTTCAAAAAGGTTTTCAAGGAGATTGAATTCATCTCAAAAAAGAAAAAGTGTAAACTTTGGCAAGAGAGGCACATAAATTTCAGAGTGGCTGACCTTATGCCATCGCAAGATGGGTTTGTGTGCTTGATTAATACGACTGATTAATATCTATTCCATATTTTTTTTCGTCCGAAAAAAGAAAAATCGTGATCAAACTGTGGGAGAGGGGTGAGAGAGCTTGATTGCTCTTAATTTATTTTTTGAAGAATGTTTCTATTCAAGGTCATTTTTGAAATGTACGTAATTTTTTTTTTATCCATGGGTTGTGATATTCCAAATTTTTTAATGCGCATAATTTTTGAATTTTATCAAGTACATTTACTTTTTCACTGCTGTATCAAAGAAACCATTCGAATAAGTCAAAAACCTTAGGATTGTATATAATATAGTATGTGATGTCGTAAATAATTATAACATTGGGATTTCTCTTTATAATTGAACAAATAATGTTATAATAATATTATATAATGCCCTTATAGAGTCAGAATATTACCATAGACAATTTGGAAAACTTGGGTATGGCTTTCAGCAATATTTATCGTTTTTCAGTACGAATACTGTTATAGAGACAACATTTAAAATAAATTTAAATTCTTTTCTACGTTGATAATAATTCCAATTCCGTTTATAATTTGCGTGTGGTAGCAGATAGTTTTTGGTCGAAAAGCGTTGAGGAGAGGCGTATAATATTATGTTAATGAGAAGATTTTTTATAGAACTGTACATCATGTAAATTAATTGGTTTTGTATATATGAAGAGAATCTGGATGAACTTTATCAGTGAAGTTTTCAAAATGGATAAGCATTTAATTCGCGTGGCTTGATGCAATATTTTCGATACGCTTCACAAGAAGAAAAGGTCCTTGATTATTGTTAAATAAAATTTATTTTAATAGTGTCTTCAAGTGACATAGAGCTAAGTTTGTAAAATGGTCGATTGGGTTTCTTTTAGAGGCGTCAACAGTCAAGCTCAAGCTAATATTGTGAATAGGATCTATTTGTAGTGTTTCTAGAACTGTTTTTTAGCTCCAGAATAAAATTTTAAAATGTATTCAAAAGCCGAAAGGAAGAATGCTTGATGAATGGGACTTAATATTTATATTGTCTGAGCTGAGAGGATTCTTGGGAAATTCAGATTAAATATATATTTATATATATGATTGCTTTATACGGTGGCATTAGATTATTTTGGAATCTAGGGTGGATCCTAGTATAATAGAAATTATTATTTAAACAATGAATAGAAAATTTAATCATGGCTTTTTCACATAAAATATTTTATTATACGAAATAAAGCACATTTTTATATTACTGTTTTTTTTTTTATGTATTCTTGAAATAAATAAGTCTTGAGTCTATTCTCATCAATAACAATGGAAAAAAAATACTAATAATAACATTGAATGGTAATTATTTTTCTCATATTATATTAAATCGTAACTCATTTGTTCATATTTATTATTAATTAATATATGATACTACTGTTCTTACGCTATTCTTTATCAATCTGAAATTGAAAGAAAATGAGTGGAAATTAAAATTAAAGTTCTTTTCAATTTCACACAAAGGATTTAAAAATTCTTTATTATTATTAAGCTCATTTTCATTACATACTCGTATTATAACGTCAAGACTACACTGAATTCATTTCTTTAGGACAAACAGTTATACTTAAGATTATTTTCATGATTAATAAAAATAGCTGTTTGTGATAATCTTTTCCTCTAGACTTACATTACTTTTTTAATTACTGAAATATATTTATACAAAAATGATCATGAGTAAACTATTTATACAAATGTATAGCAGATATTCACATTAAAAAGTAACATTAAACTAATAATTTCATATTTCATTTAAATAAAAAAATAAAGAATAACCAATTTTTTATTTATTTATTTATTTTCTGTATTTAGAATAATTTCAATTACACAATTATTAGCCTATTTTAAGATTAAAGTTTGGACCTAAGAGGATGTTATAATGTTTATATAATATGTTACTATGTATTCTCTCACATGGTGTAATAATTACATCATGTGAGAAAATTCGAACAATCTCATTACATAAAGTAAATCGATACCTAAGAGCACACATGTGCTATGTCCAAATGTCCGACTTTTAATGTTATTTAATTGATTTTGATAGCATAAGTATCTAAAACCACCTTTTTTAATTCAAATACTTCATAATTAATATTTTATTTTAGATAATTATTATAAAACAAAGGAATATTTGTTCTAGTTTTATAGTTATGCAAACAACTAAACTTCTTTAGTGATTTGCCAAAAATTAGGAAAATGGACATGGAACATGTGTGCTCTAAGGTATCGAAATAATGATATTTGGGCAATCAACACGTTTTTGTTTGAATTAATTTCATTGAAAAATTGAAAAATGTTGGCAGTGTTCCGTTGGTTGAGGACTTCAGTACTGTTCACAATATAGATATATAACGTATAGGTTCAATCACTCAACTACCACGATCATATTATGGTCCCGATTGGTTCACATTTGAACGGTCACAGTACGGTGAAAGTCTAGTCATTAATTGCTAGGTCACCACAAAATACAAAGTATATCAAGCAGAAACATTTGTAGTTAAAAATCATTTCAAATGTTTTTTAATTTACCAACTGAGGTTATGCCATGGAAAATGGATAAAATATAAAAAATTTGAACCAAATCTAACCAAACCTAGACAAGTCGAGGCACTACTTCTGAAGAGACTCTGTACATCATGTTGCCGGCGCGTCTCTGGACTCGGCATTCATTTCCGAACCATTCCGAGTCTGTTTCTCGTCTGTATCGGTCCTGTGTTGTTATTATTTGATTAATCTACATTTTGTAAAAATGAATTATCAAGAAGACATTGCGAATACTGCAGTATATTATACTATAGTGTAGGGAATTCTTTAAACGATAACAGGTTTTTCGAAATGTTATTTCACGAATCACGGACAGCACTCTGAACTTTGTGTTGTAGATTTTAGGCCTGCAGATACAAGATTATTGTTCATAAAGCTCAAGGAACTCCAAATTAAGTTTGTTTAACCATTCTGTTTTTTTTTTTTTTATGAAAATTATTTAAAAAAATAGAACCAAAAGAAATGAAAAAAATACTAAATATTTTTTATTAGCATACAATATAAACAA